TGTCGCACCAGAGAGTGGGGCACGTCTGGGGGGCGCCAAGCTCCGCAAGAAGGAAGCAGAGCCAGCGCGACTCCTGGGCGGCCATGGTGCCAGCGTAGAGCTCGGCTTCGCAGGTGGAGAGAGAGATGGCGGAGGAGCGGGTGGAGCGCCAGCTGATGAGGCCGCTGCCAAGGGTGAAGCCGTAGCCCTGGGAGGAGCGGCGGTCCGGCTGCGTGTCAGCCCATGAGGAGTCACTGAAGCCCGAGAGAAGGGGACGGGAAGGGCCGCCGAGGGTGAGGGCAAGGTCCCTGGTCTCGCGAAGGTAGCGGAGGACCCGCTTGGCAGCTTTCCAGTGCTCCTCAGAGTGACGACCGGTGCCGACAAAGCGAGCGAGCACGCTGATGGGGTAGGCGAGGTCGGGGCGGGTGCACATCATTGCGTACATCAAGGACCCAACGAGCTCGGCATAGGGGTGGGGGGAGGAGGTGGGGGAGGTGGGTGGAGCGAGTTGGTGACCGAAGGGGAGCGGGGTGGAAACAGGTTTGGCTTGCGCCATGTCGAACTTCTCCAAGACCTGGCCGATGTAATGGGACTGGGAGAGAGTGATTGTGCGAGCAGGGCGGTTGCGCGTGATGGTCATGCCGAGGTAGTGAGTGAGGGCGCCAAGGTCCTTGCACTTGAGCCGCTGCTGCAGGGACAGCTTCACCTGCTCCATGTCGGCCTTGGTGTCAGAGAGCAGGATCATGTCGTCGACATATACCAGAATGAAGAAGCGGCGGGGGGAGGAGCGGATGAAGAGGCTGGCGTCGGAGTGGGAAGCAGAGAAGCCGAGGGACCCCAAGGTGGCAGCCAGCTTCGCATGCCACTCACGCGGTGCCTGCTTCAAGCCGTAGACGGGGCGACGCAGCTGCCAGACAGTGTTCTCAGGAAAGGCTGCGTGGAACCCGGGGGGTCGCCGGAGGAAAATGCGCTCATGCAGGTCGCCCTGCAGGAACGCATTGGAGACGTCCATGGAGTCGATTTCCATGTCGTCACGTGCACCAATGTCCATGGCGGCGCGAAGGGTGGGTGGTTTGGCGGTGGGGGCGTAGGTGAACCAGTAGTCCTCAGCCCAAGTCTGCGTGAACCCCTTGGCGCAGTAGCGGGCCTTGTACACTGGTTCCTCGCCCGGCAGCTGCTTCACCCGAAAGACCCATTTGCCGTCAACGAGATTAGCGCCAGCAGGGAGGGGGACATCGACAAAGGAGTCGTTGCGAATGAAAGCCTCACACTCCAGGAAGATCGCTGCTATCCATTTATCCGCATCAGGGCAGGTGATGGCTTCCTGGAAGGTGGAGGGAGTGAAGATGGTGGGGGTAGTAGTGGCGCCAAGGACAGGAAAGCCCAGGAAGTCAAGGTAGAGGGCGGCAAGGAATGGAGTGTGCTCCCGAATGTTGAGGAACTCCTCATGGGAGTCCTCAAGGAGCTGAATGGAGGCAGGAGGAGGAGCCCCAAGGATTTTGTCCACCGAGCGGGTATGGATGTAAGGGAGGAGGAAGGGTGAGGAACGGGAAGTGGCACGGCGCCGCTGCTGCTGCTGGTGCTGTTGCTGCTGATGCTGCTGCTGCTGCTGCTGTCCCGGCTGCTGCTGATGCGGCTGCCCCGGCTGCTGCTGCTGCTGCTCCGGCTGCTGCTGCTGCTGCTGCTGCTGCTGCTGCTGCTGCTGCTGCTGCCCCTGCTGCCGTTGCTGGTGTTGCTCCCGCTGCTGCTGCTGCTGCTGCTGCTGCTGGTGCTGCTGCTGCCCCTGCTGTTGCTGATCCGGCTGCTGCTGCTGCTGCTGCCCCTGCTGTTGCTGATCCGGCTGCTGGAAAGGAGGAGAATGAGAGGAGGAGGGAGAGGGGGGAGGGGGTGCAGCTGAGTGAGCGGGGGAGGCGGGTGCGGCAGGGTCGTAGACGTCGGCAGAGGAGGAAGGCGGGAGTGGAGCGGCGACAGGTGGGAGGAGAGGCGCTGGAGGGATAAGAGGCGGGAGGATGGTGTCGGTCCAAGCGAGGGGGCGAGTGGGAGGAGGGAGGGGGTCAGGAGGAGGGGTGGAGTAGTAGGGAGTGGACTCGTCGAAGACGACGTCAATGCTGCGGATGAGGCGATTGGTGGGAGGGTGGAGGAATAGGTAGCCTGGGGAATCACGATTGTGCCCAAGGTAGACGCACTCCAGAGCGCGAGGAGCGAGCTTGCCAGCAGCGCGGGAGCGGTCGGCCGGTGGAATGAGGACGAACGCCTTGCAGCCCCAAACACGAAGGCCTGCGGCGTCAGGCTTGGCCTTGGACCAGAGTTCTGTGGGGGAGGAGGAGGGATGCTGAGGGTGGGAGCGGAGATTGAGGAGGAGGGCGGCATGAATGAGGGCATAGCTCCAGAGGGAGGGAGGGGTGTAGGCGTGAGCAATGAGGCAGCGCGCAATCTTGGTGATCTCACGGATGCGACTCTCAGCGATGCCGTTTTGCTGAGGGGAGTGGGGAAGGGTGGTGGTCTGCTGAATGCCGTATGTTTTGCAGTAAGTGGAGAGAGTATGATTGATGAACTCACCCCCACCGTCAGAGTGAAGGCGGCCTATGGGACGTTTGAAGTGGTTGCGGCACTGCTCAGCCCAGTTGATGACCACAGCCGGCACCTGGTCTTTCGTGTGAAGAAAGAAGACGGTGGAGTACCGACTGTGGTCGTCGACGAGCACGAGCATGTACCTGTGCCCCTGACGGGAGCGGATGGGGTAAGGGCCCCAGAGATCCATGTGAACAAGGTCAATGGGGGCGGGAGCGAAGGTGGGATGACTGTGATGGGGGGACTGTTTGAGCTTGCCATGAATGCATGATGGGCATGGGGGAGCAGGGGAGGAGGGGAGGGGAGGTAAGGTGGGAGGAAGGCTGTTAAGGAGGCGAGAGGTGACGGTGGAGCGAAGTGCGGCGAAGTTGGGATGGCCGAGTCTGTGATGTAGGAGCACTGCAGGATGGGAGAGGGCAGTAGAGGAGGAGGGGGATGGGGTGGGGGAAAAGTTGGGGGGGGAGGAGGAGGCGGATGGAGTAGAGGAGGAGGATATCGGAGGAGGGGGAGGGGGAGGGTGAGGGGGAGGGAGAAGGGGACCGGTGGAAGTACCAGCACGAGTGGTGACGTGACAAAAGGAGGGACGGGGTGTGCGGAGCGTGTAAAGGCGAGTGCGAGGGCAAAGGGGAATGCGCAGGAGGAAACGACCAGAGGCGGTGTGGTAGAGATCGCAGTAGGAAGCAAAGCCAGGGTATATGGCGGTAATGCCAACGCCTTGGAGTTCACGGTGGGAGAGGAGGTTATTGCGAAGGGTAGGGATGTGGAGACTGGTGACTGTACCGGATGGGAAGGCGGTGCAAGGAAGGGTGGAGAGGTGAGTGCAGGGGATGGAAAAGCTGGAGTCGGCACCATGAACCTGGGTGGGAAGTGGAAGGGGGGTGAGGGTGCCAGCGTCTTTTAGTGCGGTTTCGGTGGCCCCACTGTCAAGGACAAAGTCCAGGGTGGGGGGGGGAAGGAGAGGGAGGGAACACAGAGTACTGGAGAGTTGTTTCATGGATAGAAGAGGGAGAGAGCGGCGGGTGCTGCTGCTGTAAGTACTGTTGCTGCTGCGGCTGCTGCGGTGGGAGAGACTGTGACGGTTGCGGCTGGAGAGATTGGGCTGCTGCTGCTGCTGGAAGCACCGCCGATGCTGCCGCGGTTGCTGCGGCTGGAGAGATTGTGGTGGCTGCTGCTGCTGGAAGCACTGCTGCTGCTGCGGATGGAGAGAACTGTGGCTGGTGCTGCTGCTGGAAGCACTGCTGCTGCTGCGGCTGAAGAAACTGTGGCAGCTGCTGCTGCTGGAAGGACTGCCGCTGCTGCGGCTGGAAGGACTGCTGCTGCTGGAGATGGAGAAACTGTGGCGGGTGAGGCTGGAGAGATTGCGGCTGCTGTTGGTGTTGGAAGAACTGCTGCTGCTGCGATTGCCGCGGCTGGAGAAGATGTGGGGGGTGCGGCTGGAGAAATTGTGGTTGCTGCCGCTGCTGGAAGTCCTGCTGCTGCTGATGCTGGAGCTGCTGGAAACGCCGCAGATGGGGAGGGGGGGAGGGGGTGAGCAGGCGGAGATAAGGGGGGGGGGAGGAGTGGAGGGTCGGAGTGTTGAGAAGGGAGGGGCGAGGAGTAACACTGCTCCAGTGAGGAGGGGGGAGAGGGGCAGGGGGGGTAGCAGTCATGATGGGCGACGGCGGGTGGACTCGCGGCGGCCAAGGGTGAAGTTGCTGCTGCGGAGGCTGCTGCACTTCCCCTGCTGCCGCTGCTGCTGCCGCTGGCAGGAGGAGGGAGGGGGGGGGGGGGGGGGGGGGGTAAAGGAGGGAGACAGCGGTGGAGGGCAGAGGCGTTCAAGGTGCAGGGAGCGACGGTGACAAGGGCGCAGGCGGCTGTGCGAACGTGCGGCGGCGGGAAGGGGAGGCGGTGGCAAAGTCGGGGGCGGCGGCGGCGAGCAGGCCGCGACGACGAGGGGCGCAAGCGACGGCGGAAGGGCCGCGGCGGCGAAACGAGGGACGGCGGCGGCAGGCAGGCCGCGGCAACGAGGGGCGCAGGGGGAGGGGGAGGGGGGGGGAGAGGAGTAGGGAGAGGAGGAAGGGAGGGTGCAGTTGCGGCTGAATCTGCAGGCAGCGACGGGGCAGTCACGGCGGCAGGAAGTGTGGGCGGGGATGGCGCGGTCGCGGTGGAGGATGGGCAGGCGGCGCCGAAGCAGTCGCGGCGGTAGGGCGGCGGCGGCGCAGTGGCGTTAACGGGAACCGCGGGGCGAAGATGTTGCAGTTGCGGCGGGGGAAATTGCGGGAGGGTGGCGATGCAGAAGGGGCAGCGAGATGCGTGGGTGACGCGGAAGCAGGTGCGGCGGTGGGAGGGGAGGCGGCAATGCGAAATCGCGGCGGGGGGGGGGGGGGGGGGGGGGGGGGGGGGGGGGGGGGGGTGGGGGGCGGGGAGGTGACGACGAGCAGTCGCGGCGGCGGAATGCGCAGGCGGCGATGTTAGGTCGCGGCGGCGGGACGGGCAGGGGGCGACGAGCTGTCGCGGCGGCGGGACGGGCAGACGGCGCCGAAGCAGGCGCGGCGGCGGGAAGGGGAGGCGGCGACGTGACGCCGCGGCGGAGGGACGGGTAGGCGGCGACGAGGCGTCGCGGCGGCGGGATGCGCAGGCGGCGCCGAAGCAGGCGCGGCGGCGGGAACGCGGCGACGAGACGTCGCGGCGGAGGGACGGGCAGGCGGCGACGAGGTGTCGCGGCGGCAGGATGCGCAGGCGGCGCCGTAGCAGGCGCGGCGGCGGGAACGCGGCGACGAGACGTCGCGGCGGAGGGACGGGCAGGCGGCGACGGGGCGTCGCGGCGGCAGGATGCGCAGGCGGCGCCGAAGCAGGCGCGGCGGCGGGAACGCGGCGACGAGACGTCGCGGCGGAGGGACGGGCAGGTGGCGACGAGGCGTCGCGGCGGCAGGATACGCAGGCGGCGCCGTAGCAGGCGCGGCGGCGGGAACGCGGCGACGTGACGTCGCGGCGGAGGGACGGGCAGCGGGCAGGCGGCGACGAGGCGTCGCGGCGGCAGGATGCGCAGGCGGCGCCGAATCAGGCGCGGCGGCGAGAAGGGGAGGCGGCGACAGGGGGTCGCGGCGGGGGGGAGGAGGGGACAGCGGCGTTGCGCTCGCGGCGGTGGAATCCGCAGGCGAGAAAGGCGTAATCGCGGCGGGAGGGGGGGGGAACGGCGGCGACGGCGTAGGTCGCGGCGAGAGTATGCTAGTGATGGCTAGTTGAGCCACGCGTATGAAAGGGTTTGTAGCTGTGGGGTGGGCCCATGGGAAAAAAAAAAAAAACTGAAGGGAGGGAGAGGTAAGGCCTAGGAACAAGTAGCTCTATACCATGTGAAAGTAGCAAATTGAACAAGTGATTAGATTAGAGGAACAACCTAGCATACATAGTTCGAAGGGAAGGTTGGAAGGGAAGGATGAAAGTGACCATAGGTTGGGTTGACCTCACTTGGGGAAGTGAGGGAACCATAGGTCAAGTGGGTTGGGTTGCCCACACTTTGTAGAAGTGAGGCAACCCTAGGCCCACTTGGCTTGGGGTAACCTCAATTGTGGGAAGTGAGGTACCCACAAGTCAAGAGGGTTGCATTTGGGGGCTCCACCACAATTGGGTGGATTGGCACCCCAAAGTGCAAGACTACACCCAAAGTTGGGTGTAGTCCCAACCCAACTGTACACCACAATTGGTGTACAGTCACATGTGTTGGCATGCTACACAATATATATTTTAACAGAAACCACAGAGTCACACATCTATTTAGCACCCACCGGATCCATGAAGAGCTCTACGAGAGCGAGCGCGTTCAGCGTAACCACTCCCCGCGCCCTTGATGCCTCAATGGACAACCCCGGAGGGCCGTCCCCCACACAGTTGGGAAACCTCAGCCGATACTCCGTGCGATTTAGCTGCTCCCCGCCATTCCCCGCCATGCCCCCTCCCCCACCGCCCATACCCCCGTTCCCCCCGCCCCCACCACCCCCCCCGGCGCCTCCACCCCCCCCGCTCCCCCCACTCCCGCCGCTCCCGTGCCTGTCGAAGGCTCGGGAGAGCAGGCCCGGGAGCCAGAGAGGTTCGTTGATCTGCGCCAAGCCTACGAGCTCCTCTAGAGAGGAGACAGCGAGGTCCATAACCACATCTCTCTCTGAATCTGACAGGCCTCCGCCTTCCCCTGATGCGCCTAGTAAGGCCCCCATTGCTTCTCCTCCTACTGGGTTGATCATGCCTCCCCCTGTTCGCAATGATGCTGGGAAACCTGGGCCTAGCCCGAATGCTCCCCCTGCTGCTCCTCCTCCCGCTCCTCCTGCTCCTCCTGCTGCTCCTCCTATTCCTCCTGCTGCTAGCCCCCACCCGCTAGCCAGGCCAAAAAGAGACCCGTTTGCTCCTCCGCCTCCCGCTCCCCCTCCTCCTCCGCCTGCTGCTGCAGCGGCGTCAGCATGAGCAGCGGTTCGGGCAGCTCCATTCCCGCCCATGTCGTATAGCAACCCGCTGCTGCTGCTGCCTGCTCCGCCTCCCCCTCCTCCTCCCCCTCCCCCTCCTCCCCCTCCTCCGCCTCCTCCTCCTGCCGCAGCAGCAGCAGGAGCATGAGGCGAGGCGTTGGAGTGGTTGCTCCTCCCGGTGTTGCTGCGATGGAAATCCGACATCCCGTCCATGCCACTCGTCCCCACGCCTCCCGCCCCTGCTGATCCCCCCCCTGCTGCTGCTCTCGCTGCTGCAGCAGCTGCTGCGTCACCACCCAATAGGCCCATCATCCCATGCTCATTCATAGCCCTCCCAGCCGCCACTGCTGCCGCGGCAGCAGCAGAGAACCCCCCTTGAGTTGCATCGATGTTGAATCGGGATGAAGGGACCATATCCCCTAGCAACCCCCCCATGCTGCTGCTGCTGCTGCTGCTGCTGCTGCTGCTGCTGCTGCTGCTGCTGCTGCTGCTGCTGCTGCTGCTGCTGCTGCTGCTGCTGCTGCTGCTTTTGCTGCTGCTGCTGCTGTTGCTGCTGCTGCTGCTGCTGTTGCTGCTGCTGCTGTTGAAACTGCTGCATGCGTTGCAGCGCACTAGCACTCGACTCCATGCCAAAACTCCCAACAGCACCAGCAGCACCGCCACCGAAATCCCTGCCTCCCATCCCCATGACACCAGCACCATCCTGCATCATCCCAGGACTACCAAGCCCATCCATACCCCCACCCCCATTCCCACCCCCACCAGCACCACCACCACCAGCACCACCAGCAGCATTGCCGGCAGCGGAGGAATTCCCCCCGCCCGCGCCCATGGCTGCAGCCTGCATGCCGCCAGCAGCAGCGGCGTTGAGAGCAGCGATTGTGGCAGGGCCCATGGGGTCCACAGCGCCCCTTGATGCCAGCTGCCGCGCTGCCAGCATCGACACTCGCTCTATCTGCCATGCGATTGGAGGAGATGGGGGAGCAGAGGCAATGGGGGATTTGAAAGAGGAAAGGTGGAAGCAGGGCGAGCAAGGCAGCAGCAGCGGCGTTGAGAGCAGCGACTGTGGCGGGCCCCATGGGGTCCACAGCGCCCCTTGATGCCAGCTGCCGCGCTGCCAGCATCGACACTCGCTCTATCTGCCATGTGATTGGAGGAGAACAGGGGAGCAGAGGCAATGGGGGATTTGAAAGAGGAAAGGTGGAAGCAGGGCGAGCAAGGCAGCAGCAGCGGCGTTGAGAGCAGCGACTGTGGCGGGCCCCATGGGGTCCACAGCGCCCCTTGCTGCCAGCTGCCGCGCTGCCAGCATCGACACTCACTCTATCTGCCAGATTGGGGAACAGAGGAAATGTGGAACAGAGGAAATGGGTAGATGGAAAAATGGGGCGCGTTCTTTCCTGAGCTGAGCGCTCTCCTCCATCGACTGAGCCGCCACAGGAGAGGCACCGTGTATCGAATCATCGCTGCCCGGCACAAGTCAAGTGCCCTTCACTTCACACACCACTTCGCACCCCCATTGCCCTGAAGCATCCCCCCTACCTCGTTCTTGAGGTGCGAATTTCCCTCCATCAACTGAGGCGCCACAGCAGAGGCATCGTGCCTCGGATCAAATCACCGCTGCCCGGCACGAGGCAGATGCTCAGTGTTGAGACACTCAACTCAATCACAGCACTTCACATCGCCAATGCCCTGGTGCGGTGCGGTTAACTCCCTACCTCGTTCTTGAGGTGTGCGTTCTCCTCCATCAACTGAGCCGCCACCGCCGAGGCATCGTGCATGGAATCACCACCGCTGCCCGGCACGAGGCGAGTGTGGCATGCGGGGCATGCAGCAGCAGCCAGCACGGACCGCAGCCGCATCACCTCGCTGCGCAGCCGATCGTTCTCCTGCCGCAGCATCGCATTTTCCGCTCGTTCAGTTTGAGCCTGGTGGTGGCAGCAGCAGCAGCAGTCACAGGGAACGGGGAAAGAGGCAAGAGGAGGGTGAGGACTGGAGCAGCAGCCGCCAGCACGGAGCGCAGGCGCATCACCTCGCTGCGCAGCCGATCGTTCTCCTGCCTCAGCATCGCGTTCTCCGCCCTCTCCGTTTGCGCCTGGTGATGGCAAGAGCCACGGGGAAGGGTCACACAGGTGTAAAAGGAGGGTCAGACTGGAGCCGCATCACCTCGCTGCGCAGCCGATCGTTCTCCTGCCTCAGCATCGCGTTCTTTCTCTGCCCTCTCGATTTGAGCCTGGTGATGACAAGAGACACAAGGAAAAAGGCATACAGAAGCAGGCAGAAAGTGAGGGGCGGCGGGAAGTCAGCCGCATCACCTAACGGCGTAGCCGGTCATTCTCGTGCCGCAGCGGTTCATTCTCCTCTCTCTCCGTTGCATTCTCCTCTCTCTCCGGTTGAAAAAGCTGCAGTCACACGCACAGCAGCTGGCCACTCACCTTCATCTGAGTGCGTCGGTTCTGGAACCAGAACTTGACTTGCCGCGGCGCCAGCGACAGCCGTTGACTGAGCTGCTGCCGCTGCCGCTCGTCGGGATGCGGGCACTCGCGGAACAACCTGGAAGGCGCTCAGAGGAGCGGGGGGACAGAAGCGACAGCAGAGACGGCAGATTGCAGAGACAGCAGATCACAGATAGCACAAAGGGCAGAAGGAACATCCACAGCAGCACGCATACACACATTCATCTCATGCACGCACACACACACACACACGCACACACACACTCACACACGCGGCACGCACGCACGCACGCACACCTTTCCATTTCTTGGATCTGTTGAGCCGTGTGGCGGTGATACCGCTTGCCCTTCTTCTTGTCCCGCCCGCCCATCCCATCCCCATCCGACGTCCCATCCTCCTCACTCCCCGACCGGCTATCGTCCCCGCCCACTCCCCCCACTCCTCCCATCCCCCCCAAACCCCCCAGCCCTCCATTTCCCCCGCCACCCGCGCCAGCTCCTTCCGCCCCCCCCGCTCTGTTCCCCCCAACTCCTGCTTGCACTCCGCCGTTCTGCTCCCCCCCTGCGCCTCCGCTCCCGCCTCTCCCTGAGGCGGCTTGCGCTTCTCGCGCGCTTACCCCGCCGCTTCCCCCGCTGCCCCAGCTGCTGCCCCCTTCCCGCCCGTCGCCGTCTCGGTTTGCGCCGACCTGCGTCTCAGGCGCGCTGAATGGCCCCGGCGGGGGGAACGGATTGGCGGAAATCTCCTGCGCGCTGGGGAGATTGTTGAGCAAATCGCCGAGCACCTGACCCGCGACGCGCGGAGGACGAGGAGAAATGCGCGGAGGGCGAGGGAGCGCGGAGGGAAGGAGAGATGAGCGGAGGGCGAGGAGACGGTGGGGGGCGAGCAAAAAGAGCGAGGAGCTGCGAAACGGGGGACGAGAAGACGACAGTCATGGGTGAAGGCATGATACGATGCCGCGTCACGATGCAGCGACGACGTTTGCAAGTTATTATGTCAAGGCGAGGCTATTCCAGACGGATGGCAAAGAAACGACGAACATATTCAAGGCTATCTGACCTGATCGCTGTCGCCTGTCTGCTCCATTATTTTCGCCGAATATCGACGAGCCCTCCGCTCGACGTCTGATGTGCGATGCCAACGCGAAATCTGCCGATATTGACGTTAATTTCGTAATTGAAGCCGCCGCATTTATACGGTTTGAATATCAGACTCGCTTACGGAATTTCCGTGTTCATCGGCCTGGTGCAAAAACAGTACGGAATTTCTAAAAGGAGCCTCGTGCTAGAAGAACTGCAATGCACGCCGCTTCGGGAACCACTGCTGCTGACGTGGGCATCGTTCTCGTCAGCAGCACACGAGAGTCAAAACGTCCATGACAACGCATAAGACCCGTCGTCGACAGAACAAACTGGTTTGATCTCCACAGCTCCAACCGAAGGATTGAGCGGAATTGAGTGAGCTGGAAAGAGTGAGGAGCATTTACTACCCAAGAGCAGACTCAAGTGTTATTTGCTGTCCTTGGAGCATGTCCGCCAACGCCATTAACTACGCTCGAATCAGTTGGCTCAGCTGAGGATGAACCTAGCAACTCTCTTTGGGTTGTGTGAGGAGGAACAGAGCACGACTAGGGTTTCACTCACATCCTACCGTCAGTGACGCTCCAGGCTGTCAAATCCGACGGTTTACAAGAACTCTAATCCTTCATACATTAATTTGCAGGATCTGTAACCACCGCCCGTCATAAAGGCGTGATAAGTGTACCTCTCAAGTGGAGAATTTGGGTTTGCCCTGACCGGGACATTCAGGAATCTGGGACCAACAACAAACAAATTTCTCTCTAGATCCTTCTTCGGAAGTTTCGTCAGGACTACACCTTCACTCGCGCTAGAGTGTTTTTTGAATATGAAGCTATCGGTTTGTAGAGGCTGACCGCACCCATGAGCGCGCTATCACACCGTATAGTCACAGTTCGTCTGAATGCAGCTAAATGAGGTTGTTCACATTCTGAAGCGGTCAATGTTAGACTTGGAATGGCTGAATGAGGTATTCAGGGAAAACGAACTTTTGGTCCTCACCCTCACAAATCACAGGGCCGACTTGTCCTTAGAGCACTAGACCAAATACACTAGGTTCATATGGCGCAAATCAACGTGTACTGAAATGCAATCGAATCGAACCCCAGCAGGATCCTCCTCACCCACGGGACAGCTGCCCAGTGGGCATGTGTTGGGTTGTTGCAATGCAAGCGATGCGTTATGTAGTACCCATCTAAATACATGAGCAGAGTCCGAGCTTCCCCTGCCCTGCATCCCATAAGACCTTTATGGCAAATGGCTGTGAATAAGTGTGCATTTTAGCTCAAAAATGCTTTTGAAAAACCCGGTTCAGCAGGGTGAACATTCATACATAACCTTCTGGGGATTGTTCGAAGGTGCTGGGCTGCTGAGGAACTTTTGTCGTTGACGTTATGTGATGATTGTCATTCCAGCTTCCAAAAGGTGACGAAGTTCCTCGTCCCGATTGTTGAACAGATTGCACCGAAGCTGAACGTGCGAGTCCAAACACAAGTAGAAAGTGAAATGGGTGTACTTCAAAAGAAAGAGAAACTATAGTTAATGATTTGCTGGTTGAGGAAACTGCACTTAAACCACCTAAACCTTATTCGGCTAAATGACGCAAAACTCCCACTTTTGCTGGATGTTCTGTTGCGATTATGTATGCGTTCCTCCCACTAGGAATTAAGACAGACCCTCTTTCGAAACAGCTCTAGGTTTCAGATTAACCAAAGACGTATTGCCCAGTGAAAATAAACGTATAGTAGAAACTAGCAGTATCTTGGCCCTTCATTCTAGGGCTGGGAATGAGAATGACGTTTAAGGTAAAAAATGAGCACGCCAGATAGAACAATGAAACAGAATCAATAATTAGGGCCACACGACACAGTGCAGCACCCCATTGCAATACAAGACAAACACATTAACCATGTCAACTACACTACACCCTCGCTGTCACTGTAGACGGAATCATTAGTGAGTGGGGTGAGGCAGAAGGGAAGGCGGAAGGAGGCGATGATGTTGGCCCGTGACCGTGCAATGGCTCGCCGCCTCTTGGCCTGCTTCGTCTCTGCCTCTGATGGGGGCGGCGGTGCTTCTGGCACCTCACACTGATTCGCCACCACCCATGGGTGCTCTGCAGAAACGGAGAGGCGGAGGGAGAAGTGCGGAGGGAGAGGAGGGAGAATGGCAGAGGGAGAGACAGCGGGAAAAGGGCAGAAGGAGTGGCGAGGGAAGAAATGAGCGAGACGAATGGGAAATGAGAGAGGGAGATGAGTGGAGGGAAGGGATGTCAATTAGAAGGGAAGAAACAGAAGGGATGCATGGAAGACAGAAGGATGAAGGTGGTGGTGCACCCCCTCACTCGATTTGCAGCTCCCACTTGCCCCACACGCCCACTCACCGATTACTTCGTCCAGCGTGATGCGCTGGGAGGCATCAGACGCGAGCATGCGGTGCACGAGTGCCATTCCAATCCCCTTCCCCTTTTCGCCCCCCACCCACTCACCAATCACTTCATCCAAAGTGATGCGCTGGCTGGCATCACTCGTCAGCATGCGGTGCACGAGTCCCTTGGCATCTCTCGAAATGCCCGTCCAGGGCCCTGTGCGCGTGTCCACGTGGCCCTTGAGGATCAGCTTGTACACGCCCGCGTCCGAGTCGTGCCAGAAGGGCAGCTTCTGCGCCAGCAGCACGTACAGCACCACGCCCAGCGACCACACATCGCACTCGAAGGCGTACGCACCGCCCAGCACCTCTGGGGCGATGTAGAAAGGGCTACCTGCGTAGCCGCGAATGCGCTCGCCTGATGGGGAAAAGGAAAAGTGGAGGAGAGTGGTTGAGTGGCAGCTTCTGCGCCAGCAGCACGTAGAGAACCACTCCCAGCGATCACACGTCGCACTCAAAGGCGTATGCACCGCCCAGCACCTCTGGGGCGATGTAGAATGGGCTACCTGCGTAGCCGCGAATGCGCTCGCCTGATGGGGAAAAGGAAAAGTGGAGGAGAGTGGTTGAGTGGCAGCTTCTGCGCCAGCAGCACGTAGAGAACCACTCCCAGCGATCACACGTCGCACTCAAAGGCGTATGCACCGCCCAGCACCTCTGGGGCGATGTAGAATGGGCTACCTGCGTAGCCGCGAATGCGCTCGCCTGATGGGGAAAAGGAAAAGTGGAGGAGAGTGGTTGAGTGGCAGCTTCTGCGCCAGCAGCACGTAGAGAACCACTCCCAGCGATCACACGTCGCACTCAAAGGCGTATGCACCGCCCAGCACCTCTGGGGCGATGTAGAAAGGGCTACCTGCGTAGCCGCGAATGCGCTCGCCTGATGGGGAAAAGGAAAAGTGGAGGAGAGTGGTTGAGTGGCAGCTTCTGCGCCAGCAGCACGTAGAGAACCACTCCCAGCGATCACACGTCGCACTCGAAGGCCTACGCACCGCCCAGCACCTCTGGCGCAATGTAGAACGGGCTGCCTGCGTAGCCTCGGATGCGCTCGCCTGATGGAGGGAGGAGAGGAGGGGGAGGGGAGAATAGCTGATTTGTGAATAAAAACGCCTAATTGGGGGCGAGGTAAAACGGTCTGCCATCGCCTTGAATGGGCTCGCCTGATGGGGGTGCAATGAGGGTTTGCATACACACCAAGAGGGGAAGAATTGACTTCAGAAATTTCAAATTTACTCAAAGGAAGAGCGATGCAGACAGGGCTACGTGCAGCATCCTGTCACCCAATGGCGGAGATGGGCAGTAGGTTACATGATGTTCTCCAAGTGAACTCGAAAGCCACCTAGACACACCCATCACATCCCACACACCCGTACCTGGCTTGAGCATGGCGCAGATGCCGAAATCAGCAACACGCAGGTCCCACCAGGCGCCTTTAGCAGCCATAAGTATGTTCTCGGGCTTGAGGTCCCGATGCACCACGCCCTGGCGGTGGCAGTAGCGCACCGCACTGCGTACCGCACTGCACCGCACACACACATGCACACACCCACCTGGTTTGAGCATGGCGGAGATGCCAAAATCAGCGACCCTCAAATCCCACCAGGCGCCCTTAGCGGCCATCAATATGTTCTCTGGCTTGAGGTCCCGGTGCACCACGCCCTGGCGGTGGCAGTAGCGCACGGCGTCCGCCAGGCGCCTGACTATAGTGGCGGCCTGCTGCTCCGAGATGGCTGGTGCCGTGTTGACGAAGTTGAGGAGGTCGCCCCCGCTGCACAGCTCCATCAGCAGATGCACGTGCTGTGGTGGGTTAGGGGAAGGGGTGAGCACGGGCGGAGGGGGAGGGGTGAGCATGGGCGGAGGGGGAGGAAGGGAAACAGGGAGGGCAGGTGGGGGGGTCAGAGCCCTGGTTTGAGGTCCCGGTGCACGACGCCCTGGCGGTGGCAGTAGCGCACGGCGTCCGCCAGGCGCCTCACAATGGTGGCCGCCTGCTGCTCCGAGATGGCTGGCGCCGTGTTCACAAAGTTGAGGAGGTCCCCCCCGCTGCACAGCTCCATTAGCAGGTGCACGTGCTGGTTGGGAGAAAAAAGGGGAGTGGAGGGGGGGAGGGACGGAGGAAAAGCGGGGGGGGTAAGGAGAAGGTGGGGGCGTCAGAGCTTGTGAAGTTGAGCAGGTCGCCCCCGCTGCACAGCTCCATTAGCAGGTGCACGAGCATTGGAGGGGGAGGGGGAAAAGTGCGCAAGGGGGTAACTGCAAGCAGGGAAAGCAGGGGGCACTGTATTGTGGGAAGTTGAGCAGATCGCCCCCCCTGCACAGCTCCCTCAGCATATGCACGTGCTGGGGGGGAACGGGACGGGGAAGAACCCAGTGGGGGGACAGGGGGGGGGATCAGAGGTTGAGAAACTGAGCAGGTCTTCCCCTTGCACAGCTCCCTCAGCATATGCACATACCACCCACAACCCACAGTATCACAACCGCTGTACAAGCACCCACCACCTTTTGTACCACCATCCACAACAAAACCCACATTACCACTCACCGTGTCATCCTGAATGGCATCGCAAACCGACACAATCCCCCCATGCACGCCCAGCTGCTTCATCAGCTCCACCTCCAGCCTCACTTTCAGACGTCTCAAACACCCACCACCCACCCACTGCATCATCCATCACACTTTCCCCACCCACAGAATCACTCACCGTGTCATCTTCAATAGCATCTCGGACCGACACGATCCCTCCGTGCACGCCCAGCTGCTTCATCAGCTCCACCTCCAGCCTCAACGCCTCCGCCTTCTTATCATCATCCAACGTCTTCTTGTCTATCGACTTGCATGCCAGTGTGCGCCCAGGGGACCCAGCTGCCATACCCTTTGGTTTCTCAGGACGGGGGAGTACAGCCGCAGTACTACCCACCGTATCACTCACCATCCACCGACCACCGTCCCAACCACTGTATCACTCACCGTGTCATCCTCGATGGCATCACGGACCGACACGATGCCCCCATGCACGCCCAGCTGCTTCATCAGCTCCACCTCCAGCCGTAGCGCCTCCGCCTTTTTATCATCATCCAGCGTCTTCTTGTCTATCGACTTGCATGCCAGCGCCCGCCCGCTCCTCCTCGCCGTGCAAGCATACACCACCACCCCCGGCCGCCCCTCGCCGATCTTATCCCCCACCTCGTACACCTTCCGCACGTCCGCGTATCCCCGTTTTAAGATGCCCTCTTTCCCGCCAGTGCCCACTGTCCATTCCTCCGGGCTGCCCCCGCCGTCCCCTCCCCCCCTGGGGCTCCGCATGGACACTGTGCCTGTGAGGCTGTGTGCTATACCGCGTGGGCTCTTATCGAAGCGTTTGGATCCGCTGAAGGAGAAGAGCCGCGGGCTGCGCAAGGGGGAGAGGGACGGGCGGGACGCGCTCTTCCGCTCGCCTGCTGCTGCCTCCGCGGGGCTCCCGCTCCTGCCCCCCGCACCCCCCGCGCCCCCACCTCCTCCCCCTCCCCCCGCTCCTCTCGGCGAAGCCCCTACCGCAGCCGCGCCAGCAGCAGCGGCCGCGGCCCAGTCGTCTCCGCCAGTGGGGCTCTTAAGCCCCGCGCCAGTGGCGAGGTCGAACGTGCCTGACAGCCGCGGCGAGCGCAGCCCCTTGAGCAACCCCAGGAACGCCCTCCGCCCCGACTTGCTCTGGTCAAGAACCGGACCTCCGCCCGCTGCCCTCCCCCTCTCCCCTCCCGCTGCTTCCCCCGCTGCTTGCGCCCCCTCCCGCCCCGCGTCCCCGGATCCCAGCACTGGCCCGGAAAACGACGCGCTTGCTGCCGCCCCCGCGGACAGCTTGCCGAGTTCGAGAGCAGGCGGGCGGCGGAGGAGGGAGTCCGCCACCGGGGTGTCTTCCGCGTCCCCCCCCGCCTCCCCCGCGACCTTCTTAAGGGACTTGGAGAAGCGCAGCTTAGCTCGGTTCGCCGCGCGCCCCGCCGTCCCCCCTCCACCTGAAGCCGCCGCAGCCGCCGCGTCGTCCGCGTCCTCGCTACTGTGCACTCCGCTTCCGTGCATCCCACCTTGCGGGACCTCCGACGCGAATCGCGCGTGGCGCGGGGACCGATTATCCGCGGACGTCCCGCGCCGAAATTGCCCGCTTCCCCCACCTGCGCTCCCTGCGCCCCCTCCCCCGCCGCTGCCGCTGCCACCGCTGCTGCTGGCGTGTAACTGCTGGTGACGGTGGTGACCCTGCTGCTGCTGCTGCTGCTGTTGCGCGTGGTGGTAGTGGTGATGGTTCCCACCCACATCATCCCGAGCCACAAGCGATCCCGAGCCTGGTCCTCTCCGCCTCTCACTCTCTTTCAACCCTAGAATCTGCCGCGCTGCCGCCGCTCCCCCGTGGCCTGCCGCCGCCGCAGCGGCCAGCTGCAGCTGCTGCTGCTGCTCCCGCCGCAGAGCATCCAGCTTGTCCAAACCTAGCCCCAAGCCGTCAGACTCGGCCATGCTCACCGTGGTTCGGGATTTACCGGACCTGGATTGAGGTCCGGAACCAAGACCCGAGCCTCCGCCTCCGGTTGGGCCGCCCGCGCGCGGGGAGAGCGCGGCCTGCGGACCCGAATGCGCGGCGGCGTGCGGTCCGGAGTGGTTGAACGTGGTCGCGGCGTGAGAGGAGCGCGGATTAAAAGACGCAGACGCGGACAGGCGCCTCGAGGACGACTTCTGCGGCGCGTCGACCGACGCTCTTAACGACCCCGTGCTGCTGCTAAACCCGCTGCTGCCGCTTAAGTTACTACTCATGCGTCCGCCCTCCAGCGACGTTCTCCTTCCGCCCGTTCCTCCGTCTTCCGCCCTGTGCCGTCTCTCCGCGTTGCTGGTGGTGTGGTAACGCGACACTGCCCCCAAGCCACCACTGGGGCTCAGCGGGCCGTTCCCCTTGTGCGCAAACCCCACGTCCTTCGCACCTCCACCGGCCCCGCTGATAGGGCGCGCGCCCTGCTTTCCGCGCATGGCATCCGACGCAGTGTGCGCGCGCCGGGCGGGGGGGGGCTGTTCCGCGTCGTCCGGGTCTTCGATCCCGTCCTCGTCCTCATCCTCATCGTCGCTGCGCAGAAGCTCCTTCGGCGGAGGCTGCGCGTGCGCGGGTTGCGAAGCCCCGGACCAGCGCGCGGACACGTGGCGGGGCGGGGAAGACGGGTGCTGCCGCATGTCAAACACGAACTCCCGGGAAAGGGACACCGCTCCGTACCCTGAAGATCCCGACATTGCGGTAACCGAACCTGCTGCCGAGCCTGCTCCCGAACCTGAAGAAATGGCGGACCCAGGCCTACTGCCGCCACTGCTCCCAGGTCTAACTCGATCTCGGTAGTAGTTGATTCCTTTACCGGAAAAACCGGAAGAATCCGACGAATCATCATCGTCGAACCCTACATTGTCACATTCGTCTACATGCGAGCCTTTGCTGCTAGCCCGAGTCGACCCCTTCTTACCCCCACTGTTTCCTCGATAACTATTTTCCGTGGCGCGCAACGGGCTGCTCTGAAGATTCGGAATGCCAAGAGCGTTGATGCGTTCAGCAATGTTTTCTACGGGCAGCGGGTCGAAAAAAGGTTGCGATAGAGACCGGTGATGTTTCTTCTGCGATGGCGGAGGGGCCTGCTCCGCGTGTCCGCGGGAAAGGGGGGAGTTGCGCGGGGAACGGCCAGTGTCGTGGTACGGGGGGAAGGCGGGAGAAGGGGAGACGTCGCGGCGATTCGAGTGAGACAGTTCCGCGCGGTGGAAATCCTCCATGCCATGGAGGTCCGTCCCCGAGCGCCGATGGTACGATCGGTTAGCCATGAATCGATTACACGACCGTGGTTGGCGTTAACGAAGATAGGACGTATAAATAATCACTTAGAAGGGCCAGCTGGGAGCGGGAGTAGGCTGGCTGACACCGATGCTGTTCCGGTCACACTGCTTCCCGCGATAGGTGGCAATAAATTAGAGCGTTAATGCAAGCGATAATGACGGCCGGAGAGGGATGAGGCTGACTGACGCCAGCAAAGTCCGGCCATGGTCCCAAGCTAAAAGGAAGGCCTATCTACCAGTATGGTGAAGCCATGGATGGAGGTTGTGGATGATGGACGTCCGCGCGAGGGTGACTGTGGAGTTCTGCTGTTCAAAACAAGAAGCTGAATTGTGGAAGTACTTCCTCTCGGGGTACGAGATCAGCCTCTGATTACGTTGTAAACACGAATTGGCCTTGAAATTGGACAGTAGGAGATTTTCAGGGCGATTTAGCCATGACGTTTAATAAAGATGCACTATTAACTTAGCAAACGAATGAAGGAAACGGCGTTAAAATACACCATGCAGCAGTTTTGGGTAGGCGATACAATTTCAGCTGCACCACCAGCATGCTTTGGAAAGGGGAAAATTTCACGACGGCGAACATGATGCAATCGACGGCAGTTTGGCCTAGTGAACGAATGATCAGGAAAATCTTGAGAATGTCGAGAATCGAGACTGGTTGGGAGGACGAAGGCCTTGAAGATGGCTGGGTACCTACATCGAGTGGCTGAAAACGGCCCAAAAGTTTCAAGGAGCAGTCAGGGTCGTCGATTCACCGATCACGTCCTTTCTTGTTGTCTGCAAGAATACTGTGTGGCAAGCAAAACCATATCGTCAGGCGCTAGTGCTACCAACCAACCAATCCCGCAGAAAAAAATCCAGGGGCCAACCTGGGCAGGGATGAAATGCTTGGTTTTGCCACGCGTTGTTCACTTTCTGAGGCTTAAATCTTACGTTGCGAAAATCAACACTTTCGCTGGCATTCTGAAGCTCCGTTATTCTGAAAGCAGTTGCTTCGTAGCGGGTACAAATTCAAACATTCAACTTTGCTATCGTCTAGAAGAAGCCTCACACACACACCATTCTTCAGTGACCAAGCTCGACGCTCCACATCAGTTTCACTAGTTGCAGAGAATCACGAGTTATCGTCGTGCGCCTCCAGTGACTGCATTCGTGCACGAAGCCACTCCTCAGTGACTTTTCTCTTCCAAGCACGAAACTGATTCAGCAGACCTTTTCGCCATGGGAATCAAAGTAAGCGGCGTGATTGCTGTAGGTAGTTACTATCGGGCCTTATTGTTCAGCTGCGCTAGCCTTTTGAGACCTCGTCGCGTCCTGAGCATCTATCGCTTGGCAAACATCCATCGATTTTCATGTATGCACGGTCTGTCATGCATCCATCACTCATCCCCGATACTAGCTTCTAGATTATCCGCGACACCTTCGTCACACCAACGTCGCTTCATGTACTCATCATCACAACATTCATCATCGTTACCTCTCGCCCCGCGTGCCCGTCCGTCTGCCACGTGGCGCTCAGGGATTGACGAAGCTGCTAGCGGACAACGCGGCGGGGTGCATGAGGGAGCAGAAGCTGGAGAGCTACTTCGGCCGCAAGATCGCCATCGACGCCAGCATGAGCATCTACCAGTTTCTGGTACCGTCTATCAGTTCCCGGTGACGTCTAGCCGTTCCTGATGACATCCATTACTCTCTGTAATGTCGAACAGTCCCTGGAAACTTGATCTTGCTCCTGGTAGTTTTCAGTACCGTCTCCCGTTTCTCTCTTTCTTGTCTTGATGTCACCGTGCTCCTCACCTCTTTGCCCTGGTGCGGTCAGATCGTGGTGGGGCGACAAGGCACAGAAACACTCACCAACGAGGCGGGCGAAGTCACCAGGTGAGTCAGTTACCAGACAACGGGGTTACCAGCTGAACATAAGCGATGGGATGAATATAAGCAGGTCACCTCTTAAAGTCTCTATTAAGTCTTAGAAACAGTTTTTTTTCCTCCATTCCTCTCCCCTCACCTCCCATCCCTTCCTCACCGCACCTCCTCTCCCCTCCCCTCCCTTCCCCTCCCCTTCCCCTCCCTCCCCTCCTCTCCTGTCCCCTCCGCGCCGTGCCTGTCCCACCAGTCACCTGCAGGGAATGTTCACGCGAACCATTCGGATCTTAGAGGCCGGTCTCAAACCAGTGTACGTCACTCTGCTGTACCGGATTCACTAGAACAACTGGCTATCAGTTTTGAAGCCCTCAAAAGCACCAACCACTCTGTAGCTCGAGGCGTACAGTAGACGCAGTAGATACCCGCATGCCCCCCTATTTCGCCTCCATCTTCCCTTTCCCCCGCTTCTTTCACAATTTGACCCAATACTGTCTACAGCAATCATGCCTCCGCTCCCCTCCCCCCAACCTTCCCCTTTATCTTTCCCTCCTCAGCTATGTGTTTGACGGCAAGCCACCAGACCTTAAGAGGGAAGAACTCAAGAAGCGGTAAGCCTTACCCCTTGAACCTTGCCCATTCCGCCGTGCCCCTTCTGCCTTGACGCTTCCGCCTTGCCCATTCCGCCTTGCTCATTCCGCCTTACCCTTCCGCCTTGCCCCTTCCGCCCTCGTGCTTCCGCACACCTGTTGTTGCGCTGCTAAGGTGCTGCAGCTGTGCAGCTTCTCTGCTTTCCAACCTCTCCAATGCCCCCTCCAAGCCCTTTGATTTCCCCCCGGACCTCTTCAAATCACCTCTCAACCTCTTGCGTTCACCTTCCAACCCCTTTACTTCACCACTAAACCTCTCACGCTCACCTCCCAACCTCTCTCCCGCAGGTATTCTCGGAGGGAGGGCGCAACGGAGGGGTTAGAGGAGGCGAAGGAGGAGGGGAAGGCGGAGGACATAGAGAAGTACAGCAAGCGCACGGTGCGGGTCACACGGCAGCACAACGAGGACTGCCGCCGCCTGCTGCGCCTCATGGGTGTGCCTGTGGTTGAAGCTCCTTCTGAAGCGGAGGCTGAGTGTGCCAATCTGGCCAAGCAGGGCAAGGTGAGTCCCGAGGGGCTAGAGGTGTTAGAGGGCCAGCAGGCAGCACAACGAGGACTGCCGCCGCTTGCTGTGCCTCATGGGCGTGCCTGTGGTTGAGGCGCCCTCAGAAGCAGAGGCTGAATGCGCGAACCTGGCCAAGCAGGGGAAGGTGAGAAGGGTTTTGAGCAGCAGGGAAGGGCTAGAGGGCAGCAGGCAGCACAACGAGGACTGCCGCCGCCTCCTGCGCCTCATGGGGGTACCGGTGGTTGAAGCACCCTCAGAAGCAGAGGCGGAGTGTGCAACCCTGGCGAAGCAGGGCAAGGTGAGCGGTGCAAGAGGTGGCAGCGGGGCAGCAGCAGCAGTGGGTATTGAACCTCATGGACGTGCCGGCCGTTGAGGCGCCCTCAGAAGAAGAGGCTGAGTGCGCCAATGTGGCCAAGCAGGGCAAGGTGAGAAGGGCAAGAGGGCAGCAGCACCGGGAGTTGAGCTTTATTGGGCATGTGAAAACATGGTCGCACTCTTACTTTCGTCATGACTTTGGTGAGACTCAAACGTTTTCCTCCTCTCCCCCTTTTCCCCCCTTTCCCCTGCCAGCAGGGGTTTGGAGTGGCATCTGAGGACAGGGACGTATGCAATGCACCTTCGAGATGACTTTAAGGCGACCCAACAGTTCCCCCCCTCTCTCCCTTTCCCCTTTTTCCCATCCCAACAGGTGTTCGGAGTGGCATCGGAGGACATGGATGCACTCACCTTCGAGATGACTTTGAGGCGACTAAAAATATTTCCCCCTCTTGCCTTTCCCCCCCCCTCTTTGCCCCTTTTCCCCTGCAACAGGTGTTCGGAGTGGCATCAGAGGACATGGATGCTCTCACCTTCGAGATGACTGTGATGCGACTCTTTGTCACCCACACACCCCCTCCCCGAACAAACGGGCAGGTGTTCGGAGTGGCATCGGAGGACATGGATGCTCTCACCTTCGGAGCGCCCAAGTTCCTCCGCCACCTCATGGAGCCAGCTGCCAGGAAGCTTCCTGTCATGGAGTTTGACGTTGCTAAGGTGAGTCCGGTACCAGTACCACTGTACCACTCGCTGACGTGCTTGCTTCACCATCTAGTCCGGGCCGTCTAGTCCGGGCTACTCTTAATTTGAGACTTTGTCGTCAAGACTAGTGAATGTCCACCTCAACCAAACCAGGTATTGGGGGGACTTAGTCTTTCAATGGCTGCATCCTGTGCGGCTGTGACCACTGCTGCCACTGCTGCCCCTCCATCCGAGGGCCATCGGCCTCAACACTTCTCCCTCACGCGTCTTACCACCCTGTCCCTCCTCTACCAGGTACTGGAACTACTGAATCTCTCAATGGTCGAGTTCATCGACCTCTGCATCCTGTGCGCCTGTGACTGCTGCTGCCACTGCTGCCACTCAATCTGATCCAAGGAATATTGTGCGCATTCTTTCCAAACCCCTACCCAGGTACTGGAGCTACTGAATCTCTCCATGGACGAGTTCATCGACCTCTGCATCCTGTGCGCCTGTGACTGCTGCTGCCACTCCATCCGATCAGAAGACTATCATGCCCACTCCTCTCCCTACCCTTCTGGCTCACCCCTTCCCCAGGTACTGGAGCTACTGAATCTTTCAATGGACGAGTTCATAGACCTCTGCATCCTGTGCGGCTGTGACTACTGCGAGTCCATCAGGGGCGTGGGACCCACCACAGCGCTCAAGCTCATTCGGCAGCACAAGAACATTGAAACCATTCTCGAGAAGATTGGGGACAAGTGAGTGAGTGAGTGAGTGAGTGTGGGTAATTGAGGGAGTGAGTGAGCCATCAGGGGTGTGGGCCCCACTACGGCGCTCAAGCTCATTCGGCAGCACAAGAATATTGAAACCATTCTCGAGAAGATTGGCGACAAGTGAGTATTGGAGACGAGTGCGGGAGACGAGTTTTAAATGAGTGAGCGAGTAAGCGGGTGAGTGTGAGTGTGTGAGGGAGTGAGGTAGCGAGGCAGTGAGTCAGTGCAATGAGCACCGTTGCAACTCACAACGCCATCAATACATCTCTGAAGCTCGTCCTGCAACAGATGGCGTTAAAGTGTTCAGCTGCACCTCCGCATTCCTCTAGCACCATCCCATTCACTCGTTCCCATTTCTCCTCATCCTCTCCCCTCCCCTTCTGGTGCTCTCTCCAATTATTACGTGCCGGGCCCCTGGCCACGTCTTTTTAGTTTCTCCTCATCATCTCCCCTCCTCCCCCCCCCTTTCCCTGTTATCTTCCATGTACCAGGTGCCAGGCCCCTGGCCGTATGATTCCTGAGCCTATTAGAGAATCCCCCCTTATTCCGTCACCCCCCTCCTCCCTCCCCCTCCCGCTCCCGCTCTCTCCAGGTACCAAGTACCAGACCCGTGGCCGTATGCCGAAGCCAGAAAGCTATTCAAGGAGCCTCTCGTCACACCTTCTGAGGAAGTTCCTGAGATCAAATGGACGCCACCGGATGAAGAGGTACGATGCGTTTCAACGGCTGAGATCATAATTCATCTCAACGATATCTTTGGCGCTGAGATTAGAGTTTGTTGTGTCGACTTCTTGACGGCGAGTCATGCAGAAGCGTAACTCACCCCACCTTTTGTGCCTGGCGCCCCCTCATGTGGCTTGTGGTCGGTATGTGTATGTGCATGTGTGTGTAACTGCAGGGGCTGGTGCAATTCCTGGTGGAGGAGAACGGGTTCAACCTGGAAAGAGTCACCAAGGTACATTCCCCTGTAGTTAGGAGGAGGGCAACACACGCCTCTGTTGCGTTAAGGGAGGGGAGGTGCATGAGGGTTGGCCTCTGATGCCCCTTGGCACAAGAGTCTGTGCACTGTTGTTCTGTACTGTGTGCTTTCGCGCAATGCTGTTCTGTGCATTGCTGTTCTGTTCTGCGCTGTGATGAGCTATGTGGTGCTGTGCTGTGCTGTGCTGTGCTGTGCTGTGCTGTGCTGTTATACGGCTGCAGTAGAGATGTGCACCAAGTTGCCCTGTGCATGTCTGACCGAACGACCTTTAATGTGTTACATTGTGACCGATGGCAGGCCATAGAGAAGATCAAGGCTGCCAAGAACAAGGCGTCTCAAGGAAGGTGCGTCTCAAACGCCTCTCACCTTCTCTGCTACTCGTCTCTCCGTTTTTCTTCTCCCTTCTTTCTCCACTTCCCTGCTTCTCTTGTGTCCTCCTCACCCTCAGTCGTTCCCTTTCCGGTGCCTTTCAGCTCTATGTAACCTATTGGCTGATTTTGTCATGCATCCACGTATCCCTAGCACGAATTTGAGGGACCTTTCTGCTCCTTACCATCCTCATAGCTCCCACGCTCCGAAACCCCTTTGTTCCATAACCTACGGTCTTTTGCACCTGTCATGGGTGTGTGTGTGTGCTGTCTCACGAGCAGATTGGAGTCATTCTTCAAACCGTCGGCTACACCTGCTTCCACAACTCCCAAACGAAAGGCATGTCATACTATCATGCCATTTCTTGCAGTCTGCTCCCCATGCACCTCCCCTGTGACCTCACTTCTGTTTTGTTCCTATCCACTTACCGTATTTCTCATGCTTCACCTGTCCTATTGTTTGTGCAGGAGCCTCCTCCTGTCAAGGGTGGTAAAGGTGTTGGCAAGGCAGCAGCTGCCAAGAAAGGGAAGAGAAAATGAAACAGCTGCATAAAAAAGCTGCATGAAACAGATGAATTGTGATGAGTCAAGCTGGGAAATGAGGTGTAATGTGTTGTTTTTGCCTCAACATGTGTAATGAATGAAGCATTTCCCAACAAGTTTGCAAAATTTCTGGTCCGCCGGGAAGGAGAATGGCACAGTTGCCTGCCACGTGTTTTTTTACGCATTGTGCATTCACATGGTGATCACTGTTAAGTTTCCACAACATTCTCATTCATTCTCAAGGTTCAGCATCAGTGCCAGACATCAGCCAGCAAATCTGACATACAAAGACCAGATATGAGGCTGAGCAGCAAACCATAACCTGGCACTGGCTCCTGCCACTCCCAGGGCCTTGACTGGCAGCATTCCACTGGGAACACTGCAACATGCATCTAGCTGCCACCAGCACTGAATGGCGCTGACATCCACATGGTACCAGAATGACTCAGCGCGTCCCAAGAAGCACCGTGCTGGGGCAGACATAGGCATGAGACGGGGCCCAGAACTCAGCTGCAGGGAGCTTCATCACATTCCTCCTTTCATCCGACTTCACCATGCTTCCACAACTTCCTCTGCTCCTGAGCCTTGTTCACCACCAAAGTGACATCACGGATACACCCGAACCTGCACAAAAACAGACCATCGCTTATCCAACATTGCATCACCGAAGCCGTGCAGCACCATCGCATGAATCGCCAGTGGTAAATCCATCTTCACTGTTTCAACTCCAGGCCTTCTCTTCCACAAACAGGCCCTCCCTTCCCAGGTACCACCTTCACTTCCACGATTTCTCCTCTCCTTTCCTCTAACTCCACCAGCCTTTCCTGTCCTCCATACATTCATCTCGCAACTCGGATCCGTTCATCAAACCCTGATACAGCTCCAGCATAGATTCCTCCTGTTTCCCAAACATCCTCCTCACAACTTCCTCAGCTTGCAACCGCGTCTGCTGCTCTTCTTATGTCTTAACCTGCTTCCACTACATCCCCTCCTCCCTGTCGAAGCTTACCAACAGCTGCCATCAGCTCCCCAGCCTAGATCCCACAATCATCGACTGCAGCTGCTGGATCTTCCCTCCAAATGATGGAAATTGACGCCCATGATGCACTCTCCCAAACTAAAAATCACGCTTCCCACGAAAAAAACCCCAAGACCTTTGAAATTTCCACAACCATCAGCACCCAGCCAGCTCCAGCAAGGAAATTCCCAGCACGGCGGAGTAAAACTGCTTGTCAGCGATCTACAGCCGAGTCGGTCTCCTGCTGTCTGCCTGCTGCTGCTGTTACTGCTGCATATGATGACTTCGCTGTTTATGCTGCCTCTGCTGCTGCTACTGCTGCTGCTGATGCTGCTGCTGCTGCTGCTGCTGCTGCTGCTGCTGCTGCTGCTGCTGCTGCTGCTGCGACACTCTGAACACCTCGCCCTTACACCGCCGCCGAACGATGTTCGCCAAGAGATATAACCCACTGGTAGTTCCCCCTCCTCCTACAGCTCCATCAGCCTCCCCCCTGCCTTCGAGACAGTCACCACCACCAATACTGCTTGAAACGATGCAATAACGCTACTGGCCGCTACAGCTGGACAGTCGTGGTCAAGACTGAATGTCAGTAGAAAAGAAAAGATAGTAAAAGAAAAAGACCAGGATGCCCTTCTGAACTCGCACACACCAGCCCCCGTCCATGCAGCAGCTGCTATTCCCTCCCCTTGGTCTTCACTGAAAAGAAAACGCTGCTCCGGACCCCGTTCCATATATAATCAGTGTCACGAAGCCGCACGCTTCAGCCGTCTCTTCCACGAGTCCAAGACATCCTCGACGCTTGACGACCTAATGTATTCACATTCGACACGATCGGACAGTACAGCCTCCTCTTGCAACCACGGCTACTTAACCACCCCGATACCCCAGTCAGTCGTAGAAATCCATCCAAACAGCTCCAGCCGCGCCCCCTTTCCCCCCCACTCCTCCTTGGTCTCCTAAGAGCAGTAGATCGTCCTATCGATCTGTGGAGGGATGGGCTTTATTTCCGTTCCAAGCTCTTGCTCGATCCGGTAACTGCAAAACGCATTCAAAATGCGATGAGATTCAGAGACAAGACAAGCAAACAACATGGAAAATATCGTACAAGGCAACAAGGACTTACAGATTGAACCGGTCATTGTATGTGATGAGATTGATCGCCAAGCCAAGATGACCGAACCTTCCAGATCGTCCGACCTGCACAACAAGGAGACAAGCGAACTTAAACACCACATTCGATAGAGAAATGTAAGGATGTAGAATGAAGGTACAACACGTACCCTGTGGAGATAGGTCTCAGACGTCTTAGGGAAGTCGAAATTGATGACGACATTCACAGCCTGAATGTCAATTCCTCGCGTGAAAAGATCTGCCATAAAAAACGGCACACAGAAATTAGTTAAGAGTCAAGACAGCTTGCAAGTATGAACGAGGCGAACATGAAAGAATGACAACGCACAACTTACCCGACGAGACCAGGTTTCTGCAAGCCCCATTGCGGAAATCATGAAAGACGCGATTGCGATGGGACTGTAGCATTTTCGCGTGGATGTAGAAGCAAGAGTAGCCAAGCTCCGTGATTTTCTTGGCCAAAAGCTCCACGCGGTTGACGGAGTTGCAGAAAATGATCGACTGGTTGATTTGTAGCTGCAATAGATCAATAAATTTACGCATTAAAAGAAGCACAAAGATCAGCTGAAGCATTCACCGTTTCAGCATTGCCAGACCGGATTGCACCAGAGAGACGCACCTTAGAGAACAGGGTATTGAGGCAATGGACCTTTTGCCGCTCCTCCACGAAGGCGTAGTATTGAGTGATACCCTTGAGGGTCAACTCGTCCATGAGGTTAATGACGTACGGCTTGTTGAGCCATCTGTCTTTGAACGACTTCACTGTCACAGGGAAGGTGGCTGAGTACAAGAGAATCTGTCGCGTTGGAGCGAGATAGCCAATAAGGCGCTCCACAAGAGGCTGAAACTCTGGAGAGAGAAGCTTGTCGGCCTGCCATGACACAAGTTTAAGCAAATCATGAGCCACCGTCACCAAAGAAGGATGAGAAAGTAGAGGGTATGATCAGATCTCAAGTAACAAAACACACCTCATCCATGCACAGCATGTTGCATTCTCTTAGGTTGCACACGCCTTTGTTCGCCAAATCTAGTACACGGCCGGGCGTAGCGACAAGGAGATGCACTGGTTGGTAGAGACGCATGATGTCGTCCTTGAGACTCGTGCCACCCGTTGTCGCCATGATCTGAATGCTCATGTGCTTCGCAAGCTCTTTGCAAACTTGAGAAGTTTGCAGCGCAAGCTCTCTCGTAGGGACCAGGATGACAACTGAAATGGAGAAAAAAAAATAGAGTTAGACTGAAAAACGTCGTTAACAAACAACATTTCACAAGGTAAAGACGACTTGCCTTGGATGACGTTCCTTGAAAGGTCAATCTTCTCTAGAGCTGGAATACTGAAGGCAGCAGTCTTGCCAGTTCCATTCTTGGCACGAGCAAGGATGTCTCTTCCCGTCAAGGCAATCGGTATACTCTCCTCCTGAATAGGGGATGGCCTCTCAAACCCTCTCTCGTAGATTCCCATCAGAAGCTCCCTTTTCAAGAAGTAGTCCTCGAACTCGTTCCCTTTCGTCGCCGTGACATCCTGAAACGCGAAAAAAAAAAAAAAAAAAAAAAAAAATCGTCACTATAAGGGTGTAAAACTGCGAGGAAAGATGAGATCAATGTCATTAGAAACTCATGAAATACCTCGGTCCTGAACCTTGTATCAGAAGGAGGTAGCTTCAACTGTGACTTCCAATCTTGATCGCTGCAATTTGAAAACGCATCCATAGCGTTAATAAAAACGTTTGATATCATAATCGAACTAAGTTACAGTCCGATAAAAAGTCGGCAACCTAAGGACATGCCTTGATTGGCCGGATTGGCTTGGCTGGCTAGGCTGGCTAGCTTGATTCGGAGCGCCAAAGCCTTGAACTTGCGGCGGAGGAAGCAGTGGTTGGCCAGGCGCCTGAACTTGGCCTAAGTGAGATGGCTGCACGAGAGCGCCTTGCTGGATCCGAGACTGGTTTCCGTATGCTGAAGGAGCAGTTATCCGTTGATTTGTTTGACCCGAATGTGGACCCACGGCAGCCATATCGTGCTAGCGAAGACAGAAGACTCGATTTCTATTTTTACTTCCTCGGTGATGCAACCAATATGACCCACCGTGCCCACTCCCAACAACAAGCACTAGATTAAGATCTGTGAACCAACTATGCGAAGCGATGGTAAACCACCTACGGCGAAACAAGCGCGACAGGTTCCTCCTCCCTAAAATACTGCGGGTAAGTATCTTACGTCTAAGTAAGTCGCGCAGAGTCACCGCCGTGTGTCAAGTGAAAACCTAGGAGCTAGATGGGGATTGCGAAGCCTAATGGCAGAAATAATGTCCTCCAGGACAACAAATCCTCCCAAACTCCCAAGACAACCCTTGCTGCTTTTGCTGGCTGAGGAATCCTCAGGGTCTGGCGAAAGGGGGTTGGGTTAGGTTGGGTTCGGATGGTGGCGATGATGGTGATGTTCTCTGTAGCTTGTGTCGCAAGCACCCCATCTGACGGTATGGATAAGTGCCACTTGTTACTATAACGATTGCCCGGTCGTTTGTCACATGCTACGCTTAGATAAAAATGACCCCATTCCAAAAAAGTGCAAGAGTTCAGTTACACCTTGTGCATGATATCACACAAGTAGTTTTTTCCGTTCAGGTCACCATAAACAATTTAGCCAAACCCTAGCAGATATAACAGCACCATCAACTACATTGGTAATAAATCAATTTCGGTACAAGAAACATAGTTGCGATGCAAAACAATCAGCCAAGGAACTCCCGAGGGTCCGTGATGTGACCAGTGAGCGCTGACGCCGCGGCAGTAAGCGGCGAGGCCAGATAAATCTGGGCCTCCTTGTGACCCATGCGGCCCGGGAAGTTACGGTTGGTAGTGGATACACACACCTGGCAAGACCAAAGCAACAAAAAAGAGATCAGCAACTCAAATTTCCGCTTATAATGCTTGGACAACACGGCACGTGACTAAGCGAATCATTCCGGCATGAATCCATACCTGGGGCTCGTTCATGCGGGCATAAGTATCCCTGGGACCGCCCAGGCACGCAGCACAGGAGGGGGCAGCGGGCGTGTCGCAGCCAGCCTCCTCAAAGATCTGCGCCATGGTCTTGCCGTCCGCCCCCGGCACAGGCAGCGTGTAGATGTCCATCCACACCTGTGGGCCACGTGGAGCAAGAGGCAAGGGGCATGGGCCAAGCGGCAGTGGGGGTTGTTTCATACATGGGTGGCGGGAAGGAAGTCAAACAGGAATAGGATGAAACCACAGTAGATGCGGGAGGCAAAAGAGCATGTGATGCAGGGACATAAATAGACAGATTGATGTGCTGAGGTCCATGGGAAATGCTTGTTGGCATGTGGGCACTGGTGGCATGTGAGCTGTGAGAACCCATGCAAGCATTGCTGGCATGATAGCACTGCCGATAAAGCGCACCTTCTGAGTAGCAGGCACCAGGAAGGTCGGCACCACCACCTTCTTGCCCTGCAACGATGGTGCACACACACACACACGCACACACACACACACACACACACACACACACACACACACACACACGCACGCACACACACACATAGAAACAACACATGCATTCAGTCGAACTGCCAAGAAGCCAAGTACAGCTACGGTGGGTCCAGATTGAGATGCCTACTTACGAGCTGCTAAAAACCAGCATATCTGCGATGGAATAGCACTGATGCATAACAGGCAGGTGCACTGACCGCGGCGTGGAAGAGCTTGGCAGCGGCGAGGAAGTCCTCGGTCTTGCCTTTTGAGACGTCTCAAAAGCCATCCAAATGATGATTCGCAAGTGACTGGCAACAGGCAAATGCACTAACCGCGGCGTGGAAGAGCTTGGCAGCAGCGAGGAAGTCCTCGGTCTTGCCGCCGGTGCACGAGCCGATGTACGAGCGGTCCACCTTCTTGTCACGGCACTCCAGCGCCGTTGCTCGGTTGTCCGGTGAGTGCGGCTGAAGGGTGGGAGGAAAGGTAGGGGTCAGTGTAGAGGTTGGGAAGGAGAGAGAAGGAGTCACGAGCCGATGTACGAGCGGTCCACCTTCTTGTCCCGGCACTCCAGCGCCGTTGCTCGGTTGTCCGGTGAGTGCGGCTGAGGAGGGTTGACGGGTGGGCGAGGTGGGGGGTTGGCATAGAGGAAGGGGGGATTGTGAGTTGAGTCACGAGCCGATGTACGAGCGGTCCACCTTCTTGTCGCGGCACTCCAGCGCCGTTGCTCGGTTGTCCGGTGAGTGCGGCTGAGAGGGGATGCGGGAGGAGAGGTGGGAAGTTAGAGTAGAGACTATGCGGTCCACCTCTTGTCACGGCACTCCAGCGCTGTCGCTCAGGAGTGCGGCTTGGTGGTGGAGTGAGCTGGGAGGGGGGAGGAAGGTTAGAATATGAGCAAAGGTTGTGGGGCAAAAGGAGTGAGAGCAGTGAGCGTGAGGAAGAGGGTACCTCACCAAAGCAACATCAGAGTAACTCACCTTAGCAACGACAGGGTAACTCACCTTAGCAACGACAGGGTAACTCACCTTAGCAACGACAGGGTTGAGCTTTGAGACGTCGAACCGATACTCCTCATAGAAGCTGCAGGCAGGATGACGGGGGACAAAGGAAAAAAACAGGAGGAAGGGAAAGCACAAAGGTGACACTTATTAGGCAGGGGAGGGGTTGGTAAAAAGGTCCCAGAGACACGGGTGGACGCGGATATGAGTCGACAGCGAAGGACCGGCACAAGCGGAGGGAGAGCAAACAGGACAGAAACAGGCGGCTCACCTGGCGTTGCCATCGCTGTAGACAGGCTCATGCGTCAACGTGGTCTTGCCCTGCAGATAGCAGAGACGGGCACAGGCACATGCAGAGGACAGCATGCCACAGGAACAGTGAGACGGCCGGTGGAGGCTACAGGCTTGACAGCAGAACTGAGACGAGCATAGCAGAGCTGAGCTGAGCATGCGAGAAGACATGAAGTCAGATGGAGGGGAGTAGAGCAGGTTCCGCGTACGTACATCGAGGTAGGCGAAGGTGGTCTTGTCCGCCGCCACCACACCGTTCTTGCCTCCTCCCTCGATGACCATGTTGCACAGCGTCATGCGATCCTCCATCTGACGGGAGGGAGAGGGGGTTCAGCGGCGGGGGAGGGGATGGAGCGGAGAGGGTGGGTGGGTCAGCACACCGTTCTTGCCTCCTCCCTCGATGACCATGTTGCACAGCGTCATGCGATCCTCCATCTGAGGGGGGCAGGCGAGGCAGGCAGCAAAGGGAAAGGGATAGGGAGGGTAGAAGAGGGGGGCTGTGCGTGAGAGGGTGGAAGGGAAATGAATGATCAGGGAGGCGCTTACAAGGATGCAATTCAATCAACCACTTGACGCAGAAACTGTCGAGTGGAAAAGAAGAGACTGATAGCAGAGAAAAGAGGTCATGAGAGGATGCGAACTGGTAAAAGAAAGTGAGAGCTGGCGAAAGGGGCGGAGGGGGAGGTGAGGGGGGAAAGGGGGTGATGAGGGCGGAACGAGGGTAATGACGGGGTGAGACAAGGTGGTGATGGAGCCGATGAGGCACTCACAGTCATGGCCTCAACAGCAGTGCCTGTGATGGGATGTCTATTAAGTCAACTCAATGAAAGGGTGGTGCGACGCGGTGTTGAGGGGTTCGAGGAAGCACTCACAGTCATGGCCTCGACAGCAGTGCCTGTGATGGGACGTCTATTAAGTCAACTCAATAAAAGGGTGGTGCGACGCGGTGTTGAGGGGTTCGAGGAAGCACTCACAGTCATGGCCTCAACAACAGTGCCTGTGATGGGACGTCTATTAAGTCAACTCAATAAATGGGTGGTGCGACGCGGTGTTGAGGGGTTTGAGGAAGCACTCACAGTCATGGCCTCAACAGCAGTGCCTGTGATGGGACGTCTATTAAGTCAACTCAATAAAAGGGTGTTGCGACGCGGTGTTGAGGGGTTCGAGGAAGCACTCACAGTCATGGCCTCAACAGCAGTGCCTGTGATGGGACGTCTATTAAGTCAACTCAATAAAAGGGTGGTGCGACGCGGTGTTGAGGGGTTCGAGGAAGCACTCACAGTCATGGCCTCAACAGCAGTGCCTGTGATGGGATGTCTATTAAGTCAACTCAATGAAAGGGTGGTGCGACGCGGTGTTGAGGGGTTCGAGGAAGCACTCACAGTCATGGCCTCGACAGCAGTGCCTGTGATGGGACGTCTATTAAGTCAACTCAATAAAAGGGTGGTGCGACGCGGTGTTGAGGGGTTCGAGGAAGCACTCACAGTCATGGCCTCAACAACAGTGCCTGTGATGGGACGTCTATTAAGTCAACTCAATAAATGGGTGGTGCGACGCGGTGTTGAGGGGTTTGAGGAAGCACTCACAGTCATGGCCTCAACAGCAGTGCCTGTGATGGGACGTCTATTAAGTGAACTCAATAAAAGGGTGTTGCGACGCGGTGTTGAGGGGTTCGAGGAAGCACTCACAGTCATGGCCTCAACAGCAGTGCCTGTGATGGGACGTCTATTAAGTCAACTCAATAAAAGGGTGGTGCGACGCGGTGTTGAGGGGTTCGAGGAAGCACTCACAGTCATGGCCTCGACGTCTATTAAGTCAACTCAATAAAAGGGTGGTGCGACGCGGTGTTGAGGGGTTCGAGGAAGCACTCACAGTCATGGCCTCAACAGCAGTGCCTGTGATGGGACGTCTATTAAGTCAACTCAATAAAAGGGTGGTGCGACGCGGTGTTGAGGGGTTCGAGGAAGCACTCACAGTCATGGCCTCAACAGCAGTGCCTGTGATGGGACGTCTATTAAGTCAACTCAATAAAAGGGTGGTGCGACGCGGTGTTGAGGGGTTCGAGGAAGCACTCACAGTCATGGCCTCGACAGCAGTGCCTGTGAACTCCATGGCCCGGTACGTTCCCCCTGCCACTCCAATCTCACCGATGATCTGATAAATCATGCACGACAATGGGAGGTCGGGCGGGAGCAGGAAGAAGGGAAACCGATTGGGGGGGGAGGTGAGGGAGGGAGGGGAGAGAAGGGGGGAGAGAGAAAGGAAGGGTTGAGTGGAGACAGTGCAATTTGATGACATGTGTCACGTGGCGAGTGCAGTCCTGTGGAATGTGCATGTTGGCGGTTAGGCTGCAACTAGTGGCATGTGATAAGTTATAGCACAGACATGTGCAGGGAGTGTGAAAGCGAGGGCGAGAACAGCGAAAAGCCGAGAGGAGGGGAAACAGGAGGAGACGAATAGTGAGGGGGAGAGGAGACGAGGGGGAAAGAGATCAAGAGGGAAGTACGCAAGGAGGGGAGGCGGGTGGTGCACCTGCAGAATGAGATCCTTAGCGAGCAGGTAGGGCGGCATCTCCCCATCCAGCACAAACCGGAGAGTGGCCGGCACCTGATGGGGTGGAGACATTTGAAGGAGGAGCGGTGCAGAGAGATGAAGGGAAACGATTAGAAAACGGGTGGATGATAAGTGACAAGCATATGTAAGAATGAGCAGGCATGAGGGGCGACGCACGCTAAAGCCCCACGCACCTTGAGCAGGCACTTGCCGGTGCCGAGGATGAACCCTGCGTCCGTGTTGCCAATGCCCGTCGCGAACTGCCCAAACGCACCCGCGTTGCACGTGTGCGAGTCCGTGCCAAACAGCACCTGCTCGCGCGGGAGAACGGAAGGGGGGAGAAAGAGGCAATGGGGGAAAAGCGAGAGAGCATAGCATAGGACAGCAGGGGTGTGGGCAACAGGGGGCACAGTGATTGCTACCCCCTGGACCATTCTAGGGGAAAGAAAAACGTTCACAATTGACGTTCCTTTTCTTCCCCTCCACTGCCCTTCCCCTTCCCATACACCCTCCCCCTCAACCCCTGGTCCTTCTGTCCCCCTGCTACACCCTCCCCCTCTCTCCTCCACCGCGTCTCCCGCCATGTACGCACCTCGCCTGGTCGGCAGTGCCCCTCCTGCGCGAGCGCCACGTGGCACACGCCCTTGTAGTCGGGGTTGGCCTGCACGCGGCCAGGGCGACAGGCACAGGGAGGATGGGCGAGCGAGCAGGCGACATGAGTTCAATGGCAGGTGCATTTGGAAAGAGAAACGGACGGCGGAAATAAAGGTCTCTTTTATGCCCTGCTTCTGCAACACCAATGCTCGACTGCACCAACGTGCCCTGCATCGAAGCCTCAAACCACTCAAGTCACCTGGGATAGGAATAAATACCTGGAAGTTGGAGCGGTCGGTGATGTCATAGAAGTACTTGATGCCCTGCTCCTGCACGACAGCTAGACGGCCTCTTCAAGACCCCACTAGCTCCTCCACCTTGCACCACAGCTACCACTCACTTAAAAGCACGCACCTGGAAGTTGGAGCGGTCGGTGATGTCATAGAAGTACTTGATGCCCTGCTCCTGCACGAAGTCCCTCAGAATGTCCACGTTGCGGTTCGCGCGCTCGTCCGCCGTGAAGATGTAGTGATCCGGGATGATCACGATCTTCTCGCGGTCCCACACCTAGAGGGAGGGGAAGGGGGGGAGGCGGAAGGGGGAATGTCGAGAAATGAGAAAGAGGGCGAATGAGGTGCGTCTTATTCTTGGCGCGCTCGTCCGCCGTGAAGATGTAATGATCCGGGATCATCACGATCTTCTCGCGGTCCCACACCTGCGCGGGGGAAGATGTGGGACGGAGGAGCGGGGGAAAGGGGGAAAGGAGAATGGCAGGTGGGAAGACGGCCAGTTGAGCTCCGTGCTGTGGTTAGCGCGTTCGTCCGCTTGAAACAACGAGAGAACGGTCAGCGGGGAGGAGAGGAGGAGGGACGCGGAAAAAGGTGAAGGGCGAAGGCGGAGGGGAGGGGGAGAGGGGAAGGGGGGTTGCGGAGGAAGAGAGAGGATGTGGGACAAGGGGGAGGACGAAGAGGCACAGTGGTAACTGAATGCCCCGGCCTCACCTTGGCGTCGGCGCCGAACTCCTTCTTGAAGATGCCGATGGTGCCGGGGGAGGGGGGGAAGAGAGAGAGGATGGGGAGGAGGGAGCGGGGCTGTTGTAACTGAATACCCCAGCCGTACCTTAGCGTCGGCGCCGAACTCCTTCTTGAAGATGCCGATGGTGCCGGGGGAGGGGGGGAAGAGAGAGAGGATGGGGAGGAGGGAGCGGGGCTGTTGTAACTGAATACCCCAGCCGTACCTTAGCGTCGGCGCCGAACTCCTTCTTGAAGATGCCGATGGTGCCGGGGGAGGGGGGGAAGAGAGAGAGGATGGGGAGGAGGGAGCGGGGCTGTTGTAACTGAATACCCCAGCCGTACCTTAGCGTCGGCGCCGAACTCCTTCTTGAAGATGCCGATGGTGCCGGGGCCGCACACGTCGTGCGTCATCAGCACGTCCGTGTTCACCCACACGTTCTCGCCCGGCGCAACCTGCGCCCGCTCCGCCGCGCGCGCCAGGATCTTCTCCGTCATCGTCATGGGGGACTTCACCTACCGGCGGAAGGCGGAGGGGATTGGGGGGAATGGGGGGTTGGGGGGGTGGGGAGCGGAAGCGGAAAAGGGGGAAGCATGAGAACAAGCGAACGGGGAACTGATGGACGACTTCGCTGTCGTGAATTCGAAGGCGAGAGAACATTCTCCGTCGTCATCATGGGCGATTCACGTGGTACCGAGGAGGGGAGTTAGCGAAAGGCTTAGTGTGAACAGCGGGAGTGAGGAAAGGACGCTTGCGCAAGATCGCACATGGGTAGTTTCACCCAACGAGCGTGGGGGGGAATGGAGATCAGATCGGTGCACTCCAGTTCCCTGGTGAATCGGTGCGGATGACAGCAAAGGAGGCGGAACGCGAACGGGACAGAAACGGAAGAGCTCGATACCGAAGTGAAAGAAGAACGATCGGAATTGGTATTTGACGGTCGGTTGTCAGCGTTCGGCTTACCGCGCCGGTAGAAGCGGGGGTGCTCTGCTTGCTGGGAGCAGGAGGCACTGCGACGGCACGGATCGCAACCGGCATCCGGCTGGCGACGGCTGGCGACGCCGCGGGAAGGAGCCGCGACGACGACACGCCTCCTGCGAAAGTCGTTGAGGAGGAACCATGGTGCACCGCCGCGCCCTGACAGAAACGACGGAACGAGAGGAAGCGCAAAGGCCGTGAGAACCATGGCGGAAATGCTAACGAATTTGACATGCGCTGTGCGAAGATAAAGGTGCAAGCTTCAACGTCACCAAAAAACGATTTCAAGGAAAAACATCGTCGTCAATTCCAGTACAATGCAGAGATCAGGACTGATAAGCATTGGTCGGGAAAAGAAAAAAACGATATATAAAAGGCCAAGACACTACACGGAGCTCTTGAATGGAAAAACGGTCACAGAAAACAGGTGCTCAGTCTTACGGGTGCACGGAGGGCTGTCGCTGGCACTAAAGCAGCCATGATGACCAGTCCACGCTAACGATCTACGACAATCGCCGACCACAGAGAGACGGCACTTCGGAGAGAGAAAAACAGGCAGACAACGCTGCCGGCAAGGTAAGGTAGGCAAAGAACGCCGCTGCCTTGTCTTGTAGACTCCACCGCAGCCTAAGTTTCAGAAAAGGTTCCTTGAGAGGCGGAATCTAAAAGGTAAGGCAAAAAATGAGAAAAGTGAAGGTGGGAGGGACTGATATTCAATGCTAGTCTCTCAAACAAAGCACGGTGGAAAGCGTTTACCATGTTTTAGAAACGGCGAAATTCGGGTTGAGGGAGAACCTGACGAAGCCTGAACACGCTGGAGCTGCTGCAGCTGTCCAATCCGAGCCAAGCCACTCTTGCGTCCACCTGAAAATGCTCAAGAGCATCGCAACAGATCTCAAGGGCCTTGGGAGTGTCGCAAACGCACGCAACCTTGGCGAAAATGAGACAAGTGCTGCGCTCCACCTCGTCCAACAACGTGACTGTCGCGAGTCTGGGTTTTGCGACTGTTTCGTGACAGGGTTTCGCGGACGGTTGGGAGAGGTGGCGGGTTGTTATTGGTGGGAAAATCGAGCAGCTTGGTTGGAAGAAGTGGATCTGTCTGCGAAAGTTGCGAAAGGGGGAGATGGACACCTGAGTTCCAGGATATTTTTTGCAGGTTGCGAAGTTACGAGGTTCTGCCCAATGCTGCAGCTTCGCGACATTTCTAGACTGTCGTGAACCAGCGAAGCATTTACACTTCGCTAGAATTTAGTACCAACGGACAAGCAGACACGGGCAAAAGGGAACAAGACATCCTTACAACTTAGTCATACTCCTTAGACAAATAGACGGCCTAGGACAACAACCATGGCGAAGAAAATGTCAGGCATTTTTAGGAAAGCCATTTCGAACGGGAAAGCGGCGAAGGGAATAGAAGAACCAAGTGCACTGGAATTACTCTCTAGTCGGGAGGAAGAGGATGTGGAGGGTGAGGAGTCAACAGACACCGATGAGGAAGGAACAGTTTCCGTCGACGAGAGCGAAAGCGGAGAGGAGGAAGGGGAAGACAAGGGAGATACAGGGGAAGAAGAAGGCGAGGTGGGAGAGGATGAGGAGGATGGAGAAGACAGCGACGAGGAGGAAGCAGATGAGAGAGAAGAAAGCCAAGGGTTTAGTATTCTAGGTCCTGAGAAGCCGTCTAAGCGTGTTCCCGCTGTTCCAACTCCCGGGATTCAGTCTAGTTCAGCTTCTGCGTTGAACCCGGTCAGAAGCTTCGACGAAATGGGGCTGGACCCGCGTCTGCTGCGCGGGCTGGTGAAGCGGCGTCTGCTGAATCCCACCCCCGTGCAGCAGTACTGCGTGCCGCTCGCCATGGTGCGTGCCTCTCCTCATTAACCATTGTAGTGCCTCGCAAAGACCCTGAACCCTCCGAAAACCCCTTGCGACCTCTTACCTCCTCACCATAACGACCGACAGTCCACCATCCATCTCTCACTCTCAACTCCCCTTCTCCATCTCCTCCTTCCGTCTCCTCCCTCCATCTCCTCCCTCCCTCTATCTCCTCGTCTCATCTCCGCGCCGTGACTGCAGGAGGGGCGCGACGTGGTGGCGATGGCGCACACGGGCTCAGGCAAGACCCTCGCGTACCTGCTGCCGCTGCTGCACCGCGTGCTCGCCGACAAGGACTCCGCGCCCGCCGCCGCTGGCGCAGGGGGGAACTGCCCGCGCGCAGTGGTGCTCGTGCCCACGCGGGAGCTCTGCCAGCAGGTGCGCGGAAGAGGGCACAGGGAGAAGGAGAGCGAGAGATTGTTGGGAAAGGGGTGAGGAGGGAGCGAGAGAGAGATATAGAGAGTTGGGCGCGGGTGGCTTCCGGGGGGGACTTGTCCGCGCGCAGTGGTGCTGGTGCCCACGCGCGAGCTCTGCCAGCAGGTGCGCGGAGGAGGGATGGCTGGGGAAGGGCACAGGGAGGAAGAGAGCGAGAGATTGTTGGGAACGGGGTGAGGGGAGAGAGAGAGGAGGTGCAGATTTGGGCCAGCCAGGGGGATGCATGTTAAGAGGCGCCTCAAAAGGGGTCTGTTTGTACCGTTTCCCGCGCTCCTCTGTTCCCGCATGATCCAGGTGGCGGAGGAGGTGGCGGCTATGGGGCAGTACTGCGGGGGTGCACTCACTGTGCAGCGCCTCACCACCGGCATGAACAATGCTGCCATGGTGAGTCGACTCTTACCACCTTTTTGAGGTACGAAACCCTCCAAGAAGTATAAACCACTCGGTTGGTTTCTTACATGTTGCCTGTCTGGCTTTTTTTTCCTGAATTCCCCATGCCATGCCGTTATGTCTTCCATCATCCCAACGCCATGGCCTCATGCCCTCCGCCATTCCCCATGCAACTCCCCAAACCCACCCACACCCCCCCCCTCTCCCCCATTTTCTATCGCCCCCGTGCAGCGAGCTGCCATGGAGAGGCGGCCAGACGTGGTGGTGGCGACGCCGGCGCGCATGGCAGCGTGTGTGGCGGAGGGGGTGTGCGGACCCCCCTTGAGTCATCCCACAAGTCTACCCCTCCTTTCCCCATCCCTCCCTCCTCCTTTCCCCCCCCATGCCACACCTGTAGCGAGCGGCTATGGAGAGGCGGCCAGACGTGGTGGTGGCAACGCCAGCGCGCATGGCAGCGTGTGTGGCGGAGGGTGTGTTGTCGCCCTCGGCGCTCAAGACGCATCTCGCTGTCATGGTGCTGGACGAGGTGAGGGAGTAAGGGGGGGGCACGAGGTGGGAACAGTGTGCGGTTGGTGCAGGGGAGAAATGGTGTGCGTGGGAGGCACGTGTGGCGGAGGGCGTGTTGTCGCCCGCTGTGCTCAAGACACACCTCGCTGTCATGGTGCTGGACGAGGTGAGGAGAGGAGGGGAGGAGGGGTGGGAATGCAATGGGTGATTACCGCGTGCTGTCATGCATGCTGCCATTTGTGTCCCCATGGCATGTCCGGCCCTTGACAGTTGCCACGCCTGAGCACCCTACCTCCCAGCTCAACACCTCACACGCTATCCCTCTCTCCCGTTGCATGTGTGCCATGCCAACAGGCGGACGTGCTGCTATCACACGGCTACTACAGCGAGGTGCAGGCCATAGCGCGCCACGTGCCTGTCAGCTGCCAGTGCCTGCTCCTCACCGCCACCTTCAGGTCAGCTCCCCTCTCTCTCGCCTCCAGACGTCCCCATGTCATTGCTCTCCACAGCTCTCCTCTCCCTGTCTGCCTGCCTGCCTCCAATTGTGTTACTCGCCCCTCCCTCTCCTCTGTACCCGTCCCCGCCGTCCCCCCCCCCCACACATTCCTCCCAACCCGCCAGTGACGACATAGAGCGATTACAGAAGCTGGTGCTGCATAACCCAGTGGTCGTGCGGTTAGGGGACAGCTCAGGCCTTCTTGAGGATGCCCCGGGGGGTGCAGGGGGTGCAGGTTTGGGAGTGGGGGGACAGGCAGCAGCAGGGGCAGCTGCTGCAGGAGAGGCAGCAGAAGCAGGTGCAGGAGGTCAGAGTAACCAGAACCAGTCTCTCCTGCCGCCCAACATCCGCCAGTTTGCCGTCCGCTGCGAGGAAAAGGACAAACTACTCCACCTGCTCGCACTGATTCGCCTGCAGCTGCTGCAGAAAAAGGTTCTCATTTTCACCTCCACTGTTGAAGCCGGATTCCGGGTGAAACTTTTCCTGGAGCAGTTTGGCATCCGGGCAGCCGTGCTAAATTCCGAGCTGCCCGTCGCATCGCGGCTGCATATTCTGCATGATTTCAACGCCGGAAAGTTTTTCTTCCTCATTGCCACAGATGACGACAATGGGGGGCTCTCTGCAAAAGACGGGGGGAAGGGGGGGAACAATAATGGGAGGGGGGATTCTGGTCGAGACTCGAAGCGACGTAGAGTACAGATAGCAGAGGGAGGGGAGGGAAGGAGGGAGGATGGAGAAGAGGAAGTCGAGAGGGATACAGGGGAGTACGGAGTGGTGAGGGGGATAGACTTCAAGAATGTGAGGACGGTGATCAACTACAGTGTGCCAAACCAGCTTGCTCCGTACGTGCATCGGGTGGGGAGGACCGGCCGAGCCAGCAGCGTTGGCATGGCAATAACCCTGGTACGGCACAGCTTTCAGCCGCTCATTTGTGGAACGCTGATATGCATGTTTCACCCTCAATTCATTGTCACACCCTTGCTCGCTGATTGTTGGCTTTTGAGAGTTCTCAAAAAACTTGTTTCACGCTGATCAACATTCCTCATTCTCAAATTCTTATCTTACCCTCACTGATTGTTCCCCCCCCGACCAATCGGTGCCTGCCAGGTGTCTCCAAAAGAAGCGCCGCTATTGGAGGCTATTGACAGAAAGATTGCCCAGTCCATGTCATGTGTGGGTGGCGAGGACGGCACGAAGGGCGCCAAGCATGTCGGCGTGGAGCATGGGGTCAAAGGGGAGAGTGGGAGTGGTAGCAGTAGGAAGCGAGCAAGGGAAGCAGAGATGGAGGAGGGGGAGGAGAGTGAAGAGGAGGGAGAAGTGGAGGAGGATGAGGAAGAGGGTGAGGAGGAAGGGGCAGATGAAGATGAGGAGGAGGACAAGGAGGAACAGGAGGATACAGAGGAAGAAGAGGACTCAGAAGAGTCAGAGGAAGAAGAGTCAGAGCAAGAGGACGAGGAAGAGGAGGAGGAGCCAGCAAAGCCGAAGCCATACGAGTGCAGGGCGATAGTGCCGTACCCGTACCTGCCCAAGGAGGGCGTGGAGGCACTGCGGTACCGCGGGGAGGACATTGCGGTGAAGATCACGCGCGTGGCCATTCGCGAGGCGAGAGCCAAGGAGCTGCGGTGGGAGATACTCAACTCGGAGAAACTGAAAGACCACTTCGACCTCAACCCCAAGGACAGAGGTGCGTGCTCTTCTCTGCCTCTCCCTTGCTTCTGCCCCATTCTCCCTTCTGCACCCGCCCTCCGCTTCTTCCTTAGGCACATGCACGTGGTCATTTGGGAGGGGGTGGGAGATTCTCCATTCGGAGAAGCTCAAGGACCGCTTTATCTCCTCACCAGCTTCCCTGAAACACCACAAAGAGTGTCTCCTTATTCTTGTTTCAACCTCACGACACCCGCCCCCCTCTCTCCCCCCCTCTTCCACTACAAGGTCCTTGGTCCTACCGTGCCTGTTCCACCTGCTTTTTGCTCTATTGTTGCACGCCAGGCCTCCTCAAGCACAAAGTGCTTGCCAGCCAAGGTCCTAATTGCACACCCATTTGCCTCCTCATTTCACACTCACTCACCTTCGGTCACCCCCTGTTTGCTGCATCGCCCCCGCCAGACCTCCTGAAGCACGACAAGGTGTTGGCCAAGGTGGCCCCCTCCCCGCACCTCAAGGTCCTCCCAACGTACCTTCGTGCCGAAGCTGTCACGGAGGCTCGGCGCAAGTTCCTAACCGAGTTGCCTCCTGCAGAGCAGGACAGTCGGGATGGGGGGAAAGGAGGGAGAGGAGGGAGAGGGGGAGGGGGGGTCAACAGAGGCCACAGGGGGAGGGGTGGGGGACGGGGACGGGGAGGAGGAGGGAGAGGAAGAGGGGGGCGAGGAGGCAGAGGCAGATCAAATGATCCGTTGAAAACGTTCAGTGCTAAGTAACACGCATACATACATGCACTTGGTGTACCCATTAGTTGCGAGTACTCTGCACGGAAGTAGCATGCATGCACACACGTGGTGTCTGCAAGAGTTGGGCGTGCGCGTTGTTAGGCTTCTGATAAATGTCTAATATGCATTTGGTGTTGGCACTTACTGAACCAACCAATGGGGACCAAAGTCCCCATTATTGATTTACCTGAAGGAATATACCGTATCCATGTGCAACTAGTGCGCAGCTTAGGGCAGCTCATGGTTGCCACCTCTGCTGCTCCACCTCCTCTTGCCTCCTCTGCAGCTCCACCTCCTCTGTCGCAAAAAAAATGGTTGGCGTTGCTTCACCTCTAGCTGGAAACGGATGCAGATGAGAGAGTCCAGACGACACTGATTGACTGCTACAAAATAATATCCAGGGATCTACCGTACTTTAATCTGTGCATTAGATCTACGACATCGATGATTTAGTCATTTTAGGCACTTTCCTGTAACTGTATTAATCAAGACCTGTGGTTAAACTGCTCGGATGCACAGTCCTGTGTGCATATCCCCCACTTGGTGATTCCAATGTACAGCCCAGTGCTAGCCTAGTGCACCAACCCTGTAGTTAGCCTGCCCTGATGCATAAGCGCTGTCATTATTTCACCTTGACGCTCAAGCCCTGGGCCCAATGCTTATCCCCTGTAATTAGCGTGCTCACATGCACAAACCTGTGGTTAGTGCGCTCTGATGCACAGACTCTGTGGTTAGTATTCCCAATGCACATCCCTGTAATCCGCATGGTCTGGTGCACAAGCGCTGAGATTAGGCCCGTGGTCAGCCCTGTGGTTAACCTTGTGGTTAGCCCTGTGGTTAGCCCTGTGGTTAGCCCTGTGGTTACCCCTGTGGTTAGCCCTGTGGTTAGCCCTGTCATTATCCCTGTGGTTATCCCTGTGGTTAGCCCTGTCATTATCCCTGTGGTTATCCCTGTGGTGAGCCCTGTGGTTAGCCCTGTGGTTAGCCCTGTGGTTAGCCCTGTGGTTAGCCCTGTAATTATCCCTGTGGTTATCCATGTGGTTAGCCCTGTGGTTAGCCCTGTGGTTAGCCCTGTAATTATCCCTTCGGTTATCCCTGTGGTTAGCCCTGTAATTATCCCTTTGGTTATCCCTGTGGTTAGCCCTGTAATTATCCCTGTGGTTAGCCCTGTGGTTAGCCCTGTGGATAACCCTCTGTGGTTAGCCCGGTGGTTAGAGCCTACGCAGGGGGTTGCTGAGGTGGGTGGGTCTCGAGGGGAGGCGGGTCGCACAAGGAGGTGGGTTGCAGGGGGAGGCACGCGTGTGGGGGGATTAGGAACAGGGGAAGAGGGGTGTGGGGGGATTCCTATGGAGGGGGAGGGGAGGGAGCGGGGCAGGGGGGAACCTATCTTATCACAATCTATCTGCTTCAGCTCTACCAAACGGTCTTCATCCTCTGTCTTGACTTCCAAACGGATCGGCTTTGGTTGTCCTGCAAGCAGACGAGAGGAGGAGGTAATGCAGACGAGAGCTGAGGTTCTCTGCATGATAAAAAAAAGATATGATTTGAAATGATGATACCCACAGGCACATGATTTTCATGGTTTTGATACCTACACAATGTACATGATATGATATGATATGATCTGATATGCTATGATATGATATGATGATATAATGTGTCACTGGTGTTGGGTTGCTTTTGCTCACCTTCACAAACAACGACGAGCACTTCATCTGATGACCACTCCAGTTGGCTGCACTTTGCAATCGCAATCCCTGCCTAACCAGTCCAATCGCAACACACCAAAAAAGAAGCAGAGAGAAAGAGAGGGGCACATGAGAGACAAAGAGAAGATACGAGGGCAAGAAAGAGAACTGAGCATGTGGAAGGCCAAGAATGAAGCTTGTTGCCCCATTTTTGTAGAAGAATCAGCATAGCCGAATGGCGTTGCCGGGCAGAGGGAGAAGGGGCATGGAAGGCAAAGGACTGAGAGACAACGACAAGAAAAGTACGGTCGAAAGGGTATTGATGCACAATGCAAGGGTGGCGCAGAAGAGAAGGGGAGTGGATGCGGAAACCCACCAGAAGAAATGGCCAAAAGGAACGTGCTATTCTTGTGTACTGGCATACTCCAATGCTGCTGCCAAGCTGTTGCTCCGCCCAGTGCTGCTGAAGGAGGAAACACAAGTGGGGAAGGCATGTTAAAAGGATTGTGAAGAGCTGAGAAATAAGGCATCTGAAGGTAGAGGGGATGCTGACAGGGAAGCTGACAAAGGGAAATTGGGGGCAGAGAAGAAGCGGCTTGAGCGATGAGCATTACCATTAGAGAGGCAGGTAGTCCGTCTTGTTGCCGCTTCTTGCTGCCATTGCCATGCCTGTTTGCCAGAGGATACACAACGTGACGAAGAGGAGGGCGAGGAAGCGAGAGTGGAAGGAGCATCACCGTGCATTGAGGAGATGGGAGCAAGAAGGACATGAGGAACCTACCAGGGAATGAGGGCTCCGATGATCCGCCCTTGCTTGTTGTCCCTTGCTGATATCGCTGCTGCTGCCATGCCCATGCCAGTAGGATGAAAGGCAGGAAAGGAGGAGATCAAGAGGATATGAGAGATGATGTTCAAGAGGGAAGGAGAGAGAGAGGGATAATCTGAAACAGTGGTAATACTAAGGCCAAGAAATGCAGGAGTGGCAACAGCAAAGAAGCTAAGCCCAAGAGACTTAGGGAAATAAGAACAATTTTAGGGAAGGAGGATGACACAACAACAGAAAATAACAGATATTACCACGAATGCTAATGCAACCTCTTGTCCTCCTCCACCCCCTCTCCTCCGCCTCAGTACCCTCTTTTCCTCTGCGTGCATCGTCCTCTGCACCCCCTCTCCTCCTCTGCACCCTCTCCTTAAAGCTAAGACAGATAGCAGCAGCACCGCCCGCGCACCATCAACAGCAGCACACGCTGCTGGGATGGGATGGACAGAGAGAGGAGAGGCGACGAGATAGGTGCAAGAGGCAGGGAGAGTAAGCGAACAAGAGCGAGAATGCAAGAGCACGAGCTTTGGAGCATATCATGGTAAATGCAGAAAAGCGGAACAAGTATGCAAACCAGTGGTTGGATGGTCCACTGCTATTTTGAAGTGACCCTCGTGGAGTGTCGCTCGTGGAGTGAACCTCGCACCGCCTCCCACCGCCCTCCCTCTCCTCACACCACTCTGCTAAAGCACCGGACGAGAGGGGTGGAGCAAAGGGGAGCAAGAGGACCGAGTGGTGGAAAGGACTGAACGAACGAGTAAAGGAAACAAAGACTGAAGATAGAAAGCATATTGCACTGTGACGCTGTGAAAAAGGAGGCGATGGTAGCACACAGCACTAGTGCGGCGAGCTAGCAGGCAAGGGGGACGAGGTAAGAAAGAGACGCGAGTATGAGTGTGAGTGCATCTTAATCTATCCCCCTAGGACTCTAGTGTGAGCTCAAGCCGCCCCAGTGCCATGCGCTACCATCGCCAATCGCCGCTCATCTCTCACTCAAATTTTGATCGCTCGCATTCGAAAGTGACCTCGTTTGTTTCGAACACGCGGTGACGAAAGAATGCGGTACAAAAGTGGGCAATGATATACACGAAGCAGAAGCGGTACGGATGGCAAGGGCGAAGGAAGAGGGGACTTAGCCGTATAGGGAGTTCTTGCAAGCAACAGAAGCAACCGTTGGTCCCACCCGCCAGCAGCATTATCCCACCACACCCACCGAGTTTGTGCTGCTGAGATGGGATGGGTAGAGGCAAAGGGGGTGCAAGAGGGCGGGTGAGGCGCAGAGAGAGGGATTGAGTGAGCCAATGCCGGGCACAACCAGACAGCAACTGTACGAAGCAACAATGATGAGTGCATGAGTGGGGAGCGGGTGTGCAAAGCACTGGTTGGATTGGATGGGCCATTGCTGTCTGAGATGGCGCTCTTGGAGTGTTGCGCTTGGAGCAGCACCAACACCAGCAAAGCACCGAATGGATGGGCTACAGTCGTGTCACCATCACCCTCACCAGCAGTAGCAGCACCAACACCAGCAGCACCAGCGCCATCACCAGCAGCACCAGCGCCATCACCAGCAGCACCAGCGCCATCACCAGCAGAACCAGCGCCATCGCACCCTCCCACAGCCACTACGTGGGTGCTGCTGGGATAAGATGGGCAGAGGGAGTGGGGGGCAGGGAAAGGTGAAATCAGCAGGGGAGTGAGTGAGGGAGTCAGCAGGGGGCACAAAGCGAGAGCAGGAGTTTTGGGAGAATGAAAAGTGCACGAATGCGAAACGCGTACGCACACCAGTTGGGTGAGCCACTGCCGTGTTGGAGTGGCGCTTGTAGACTGTTGCTCTCCCAGCAGCACCTACCAGCAACACTCCCAGCAGCGGCCCTCCAGATCATAGGGCGCGTGAAGGAGCGGCGTGGTCAGCAGGGCACGCAGAGCACTCCCATAACTGCCTGCCGTGCGTCATCCCACCGCCCTCCCTCTCCTCGCACCACGCTGCCATAGCACCGGACAAGAGGCGTGGAGCAAAGGAGAGCGAGAGAGGACAGAGCAGGGAAAAGGAACCCAGGTAGTTAGTGGAAGCAAAACGGTAGTGAAATGCATGCAAGGAAGGAGAAGTAACAAGAACGAAGGAGTACAGGAAACAAAGACTGAAGATAGAAAGCATATTGCACTGTGACGCTGTGAAAGAGGTGGCGATGGTAGCACACAGCACTAGTGCGGCGAGCTAGCAGGCAAGGGGGACGAGGTAAGAAAGAGACGCGAGCATGAGTGTGAGTGTATTCTAATCTATCCCCCTAGGACTCTAGTGTGAGCTCAAGCCGCCCCAGTGCCATGCGCTACCATCGCCAATCGCCGCTCATCTCTCACTCAACTTTTGATCGCACCCATTCGAAAATGGGCTCATTTGTTTCGAGCACGCGGTGACGAACGAATGCGGTACAAAAGTGGGCAATGATATACACGAAGCAGAAGCGGTACGGATGGCAAGGGCGAAGGGAGAGGGAACTTAGCCGTATGGAGTGGAGGTGCTTGCAGGACAGTGGCGTGAGGGCTTCCAGGAGGCAAGCACACCGCTGTGACTGCCTGCCATGCGCCATCCCACCGCCCTCCCTCTCCTCGCACCACGCTGCCATAACACCGGACGAGAGGCGTGGAGCAAAGGAGAGAAAGAGGACAGAGCGGGTAGTCAGTAGAAGCGAAAAGGTAGTGAAATGCATGCAAGGAAGCAGA